CGGGAACCACCCTAATGCTCCCTTACATGGGGACTCCCGAGTTCGCAAGGGGCAACGGCAAATCTGGTGCAGAACGGTGCCTTGAGTGTTTCGGCTCCATTTGTACTCCTAGTGGCTCCGATTAAGAACTGCTAGACCTAGGAGTAACCTAGGAATCAGAAAGGCTGCTTTTGATGGCTTAAAGGGGGTTATAAGGGATTTTAAACCCCCCAACAAAAGAAACACGGGCCTACTCTATCCTAAACCCTATACCCTGAACCCTAAATATCAGGCAACTTGGAGGTGCCTCATCTTTCCACAAAGCCACCAAAGCATCTTGAGCCGCAGCACGAACCTGGGGTCGAAGGTGTTAAGTGCTGCCTTGGCAGCGTGTTTAAGGTTTAGGGGTTAGGTTTAGGGTTTAGGGTTTAGGGTTTAGGTCTTAGGGTTTTGGATTCAGGGTTACACCACGGACGCATGAATTACATCAATGCAATGACTGTCCGTGGTGTCGAGGGGTCAGAAGATGATTCTAAAGTTAGAAAGCCGAATCACAAACATTGGGTCGTCAGCACGCTGCTCTGCGAAAAATAGTTCAGGGATGTGGGCTGACATGAATGTGCTCAGATGTAAATGTTCATCAGAGCTTGCTCGAACTTAATCGGAGTCGAGTTCGCATCGAGAACCTAAAGGTGCTACAAAAGCCTACAGTACTTTTCGATGACCTTGGTACTTTTAAGGTTCTTCCGTACCTGAAACCCTATAAACCCTAAACCTTCTGGAAACCCCAAAGGCCCTAAACCCGGAAGATGCAAGAGCCCCGAAGCCCCAAGCGCCTCCTCTCGGCTGCTCTCGAGGCGAAGGGCTGCGAGCTCAACTGCCTCCCAAACCCAAAACCCATCTTGGGGTTTGGGGTTTGGGGTGATTGGGGTGTTTTTGCCATCCGCCCAGCACGCGCGCACGGCGGGGACTACTTACAGGGGTTTGGGGTCCTTTTTTCTTCTTTGCCACCCGTCCAGCCATGCTCCGCGGGGCGACTGAAGAGGGAATGCCGTGCACAAGTTTCTTCAGAGCCCAACTTCACGATATGCCAAGAGTCAGGAATCGCCCTACACCCATCCCACACAAGGATACCGAACATCAAATTTCTAACAGCAAGACATCAATACCCAAACGACTAGAATGATTACGAAACTGGAGGGTGTCACGTCCACCTTCCCAAACAAGGCCATGCTCTATCCCTATCCATAGGCAGGCCCAGAGCAGCATAGATCAGGCGCTCACGACAACCACAACCGTAACCAACATCTTACAAACCTCTCGCCTCCGGACATCTGATAGAGAAGCCTACATGTGAAAGATTCTGTCACCAACTGCTCCCTTCTCATCCATGCCAGGGATGGAATACATGCCCGAACTAACCACCCCGAACCACAATCGCACCCCAACCCACAACTGAAAGCGGTTTCGGGTTGAGGGATTTAGGGCTCTGAAGTCACAAGCTGGAGGCAGCGTGGCTTCGGGCTTACGATTCAGTATATCCCCAGACCAGAGTCGCCGCAAACCTAAACCCGCAGTCCCTCACGAACGGTCCCCCGCACCTGGACGTCGCCCACAACTGCCACCTGAGTTTGAACAGCACATCAGGGAAAAAGAGCCTCGAGAAGCACTATGATGGCTTGCAGAGGGGTAGACGCTGGAGGGCTGAGGTATGAGGGAGTGGGATGACCGCATGAACCCCGCCCCCGCGCCCGCGCGCAGTGCCTTCTCGGTGTCAACCCTAGCACGTCTTGGTTGCCGAAGGTCATCTTGGATGGCTTCAACGACGATCTGCCGCCACTCGATCTGGGGGTCCTGTGAAGTGCCAGGAGAATTTTATAGGGGCTATTTTATCAGGTGCATACATCCGGGTCCTGCCTTTTGACCTAGTAAGTAGGGTTGGTAAGGTGGGTTATGGAGTACGAAGTAGAGTTCTAAGTACTCTAAGCCTGCAGCTGGAGCCACGAAACTGAGATGCAACCTCGGGGGGGCTGGTGCTTCTTCCTCGTGTGCCCCAGTCAGGAGGGCATGACTCAAAAGATGCCCTAGTCAGGAAGACAGGGTTTAGGATTTAGGGTTTAGGGTTTAGGTTTCTTCGGACATCTTCTCTAAGGCAACCCGGATCCTCGAGCAGCGACATGGCCGCAGCTGTGGCCTCAGCGCTGCCACCTTTGGCCACGCAGCGAAGGGCCTGCGACCGCTGCGACAGGACATCTTGAGTTCAGTGTTTTGGCATGCGCTCTCTGCTAGCAGTCCACAGTGTCCACAGCGCTCCAGTGTTTAGGGTTTAGGGTTTTTGTAAGCCACCCGCCCAGCACTCGCGCACACCGGGAAAACTTCAGAGGGTCCACACAGGGTCTAGGGTTTTAGGGGTCAGGGTTTTCGGGTTGTGCTTGTAGCCATCCCACAAAGCCAGGGCTCAAAAACTGAAGCAAGAGGGAGATTCAGAGGTGTTTCAAAGCGGCGCCCGGGGAAAATCCAAACCCCTAACTACACTCACCCACAAAAGGAACCCACACTCTACCGGGAAAAGAGCTCTGGTCTTCCTACCTTCAGGGCCGCGCTCCGGGCCGGGCGATTCCAGTCCTTCAAAGGAATGGGGGGCTTCGGGCACTATGGAGGCTGGGATGTAGGGTTTGGGTTGACAAGGTTGAGATGCAGGTTGATTGCTGGGCCTTAAGCTTTGGAGCTTCAGATTGTTTGAGCTTGGGGTGCTTCGTAGTGCAAGGGTGGTTGGTTGTCAGCTTTCGGGCGTTCGTCCAGCAAACTGTGCAAAGAGGCCCACCATGTGGCGCTTCTCCTGCAGAGCTGCCGATGTTGCGGTGATGACGGCAGGATCACCGTGGACCGCCACCTGCAAGACAGTCAGACAGCATGAGCTTCTTTGTTGGCCCCGTTCCGGTTCGTAGGCCTTCGGGTCCGTACCCCCAGGCTCCTCTTCCCCGAAGCCCTCCTAGAAGCTGAAGCTCTAGTCCCAGTCAACAGCCTGCCCGAGCACTGTGAGAGCCATGGTCCGCACACGCGAGTCCCGGTCACGGACGCGTGCCAGGGACGCCTGCACCTGGGGTGTAAGGGGTTTAAGAGTGCAAGAAGCGAGGCGTCTGAAGCAGGGGCTTGTGAGGAGGTGCAAGTGTATGCAATCATTGCCATTGCTCGTCACAACTCTTGAAAGCCACAACAAAAAAAAGGTGAACGAATCCGAAACACCCCAAGACCTCACAGCCAAGGCACACAGGCCGGGTCCCCCTTAGGGGCAATCTGGCTCATCAGGGTTAGGGCCGCATGCCGCACGGCCCTGTCTGGGTCATCGCTGAGTTCTACCTGAGGCGTGCCAGGGTTGAGAATTTGGGCAAATTGGGTGCGCCTATCCTAGAGGCGTGTTTTCTGCCGAAGAAAACAAAGTGGCCCCTGCTTACGTGAGGGGCTCCCATGCACTTTTAGATGAGCATCCTCATCGCCATCAACATCATCATCGCAGAGTCTGATCACAACAAAAACAGCTACTGCTCTGAAAAACTATGCTGAGAAGATGCTACTACCAATAACCATGGCTACCGTAATACCACAATGCTCAGGAAAAGCCTGGGCACGACCTTCGCGAGTGCGCCATCCACACCCGCCTTGTAATCGCGCGCCGCGACCTACGAGAGGGATACAGGGCTTCAGGGCTGAGACGGTTGTTTCGGTCTTAAGGCCTAAGGCTGAGGGACGTTTAGGGTTTGAGGTTTCGGGGGCTTAGAATTCTGTTCCTCCTGGTTCTGGAATGTTTGGCTTTCCTGTTTTGAATGTGGTCTTGAGTCTTCATGCCCTTTGCCCATGCACGCTGAATTTGGAGGATGCCCGAGTTTCTGTCCGAACCCCCCAAACCATCACACACCGAACCTTGAGCCAGAGCAAGCCAGCCAGCACTAGCAGCAAAGCCTTGAACAACTCACCTCTGCACTCCGCATTGCCCTTGGGGGCCTCAAGGTTTTCAGGCTTGAAAGCTCAAGAGACTGAAAACAAGCACACTGTTAGGCTGGGGGGTTAGACTCTGCCCTGACCCCTCCACGCCTGCAAGGCTTCGATCGCCAGCTTCCGCTCCTTTTTTGGGCGTTGAGGGGGTTGTAAGGTGTTGGGGCGATGGTTACTTTGGGAGACCTGGGCTTGTGGGGTAGGGGGCGGCGCGCGGTGGCATGATCGCAGCAGCGACATTCAACCCCAAAACATCCCAAGAGTTGGGACACTAAACTATGATGTTTTTAGGGAATCCAGATAAGGAGCCCGAAACCCCCCCCCCCCTATTGCCACACTCCTCCCATGCCGGGTCAGGGGCAAGGAGGGACCCGACGCGGGCAAGCGCCGGGGCCATGCTGAGCTCAAGCGGCTGCGGCAGCAGAAGTTTTTGCATCTGCCGAGCCTACTTGGAAGCTCCTTTGACTTTGCGAGTAGGGTTTGTAAGGATATGGGGGCCATTATGGGGTTTCTAGGGGATATTAAATGGACCTACGAAGTCAAAAGAGCTTCGAAGTAACCTCGCACTATGGGGTCAGAGGCCAGAAAAAAGGTTGCAGCACAGCCAGCCAAACAGAAACTTGGTTTTGGGGGTTCGGGTTTCCTGGGTGTGGGCTTGCAGCTAGACCCTAAAGCATTAGACTTCCCCAATTTATGGGTTCTACCGAGTTCTACCCTTCTACCTTCTTGAGGATGACTGTAGCTTATGGCTGGGCACAATTCTTCGTTTATCGATGCTGGGTCTCTGGATCCAATTCAAATGAAGGCACTGCGCCATCCCCGTCTAATCAGGCTTTGGGTCTATTTTACTACAAGAACCCAAAACCTGCTTCTTTGTAGCTTCCTATTGCGCAAAGCCCCATATGGGATTCTTAGGTAACCTGACATAAAGGTAAGTTTTGGGTTCTCAAGGTGAACCCTAAACCCAGAGTTTCTGGCCCCAAGCTTCCTTGGCTTGGGGCGAACCGTGCAGTGGTGCCTGTCATGCCCACATCGCGAAGATGCATCGCGTCCAATTACCTGCCGACTGCGACCCTTCACTGTTGGGGCATCCGAACATCTGTTCAGGGCGCCGCGAAACCTTTGCTCCGAGACTCCAAGCTGTAAGAACCTTCAAACCCTTCAAACGCCCCCCCAACCAGGCAACCGAGAGCAGCTCTGAGCTCAGCGATACAATCAGGGTTTTAGGGCTTCAGGGGAAGAAGCAAAACCCGATGGAACCCGCCTCAACAGACCAAGCGGGATGTCTGCCGATTCGGGCCGCAAGCAAGAATGGAGGTTTCCACAATACCCATCTTTTTTCGAGCCCTCGCATGCAAAATGAGTCATGAGGGGGCGCGCATTTTGCATTTTGGGGTTCTAGCACAGGGGTGCCGACGGTGCCGACCATTCGGAAATACCCAAACCCCAACATCACCCCCACGTGCCCAGACAGCAGGACTAGGATTCTGATGTGAGCCAGTAACACACACTGACAGTTCTTGAATATGTAGCGCAGACCCATTTTTGACGACTATGACCGCTTCTATCACTCTACCAGGCTTTTGGTATACAGTTCCTCTCAAAAGCCCACGGAACTCTTTCGCTTTGCGCAATCGCACACTTCAGCTGGTCCAGAACGGCAGTGCCCGGCGGTTGCCCGGCGGTGCCCGGGTTCCGGCTGGCTGCTGCTCTCTTCCTGATGGCAGCTTCCTGGCAAAGAGGGGCGAAAGACGTCGGAAGATCAAGAAGTGAACGATGTGGACCTTTAGGTCCGTGTTGCACAGCCAGTTCAAGGAAGGGATACCTTAATTAGGTAGTCCGTCTCCGTATCCATGTAAATAAGGGATGAAACCGAAGGAGCTCTCATCTCTGATGACTAACCCATCTTAATTTGGATCTTTAGCGGAACTGTGAACTGCCAGCTAAAAAGGACCACGTGTAAAGCACGAACCGGCGCGTGCGTGTTCGAAGTTCTTGACACCTCTAGCGTGCCGCTGTGTTTGGGGGACTTTCGCTGTGTGTTATGGTTCCAAGCCAGTGTGTCTATGGTCATGCGCTGCTTCCGTGTATCGCAGTTTGCTTCCGTGAGTCGCGCGACATGATGACACCCGTGATATTCCGGCATGTAACCTACTGTTGGTAAACGAGCAGAGCTGTAGTTTTTGCACCCGCCCTCCCTCACATCCGTTGGCAACGACCGCGTGATGTGAAAAAATGCCGAGCTGCAGTGCACATTGGAGACTGTCGGGGAGTGCGTTTAGCCTGCGTTTGGCTATCCAGCGCGCGTCCACCAGATGGTCATTCATGTCTTGTCAGCCATGCCTCTGCCGCCTGCAGCGCACCGTTGTGTGTTCACGCAGGGCTTTTTTCCGTGCAGGGCGGCACCTTCGTGTGCATTTCGCAGCTTGTGAGCTTCACTTGACCCCGCCCCGCTGGCTACCCTGATGCGAGCGACAGCCGAGAAAATATGAAGAAGTGCGTTTACGCAGCTTATGCGCCCTAGTGCCGTTTGCTGCTTGTGTGTGAAGTGATGCGCCGAACCATCCTGGCAGGCCGTACCCCGCGCGCGACCCCGAAAAAAATATGTGGCAAATCACTCTCCACTCCAACCTGCAGCTACGCGATTCAACTTCTGGAAGCCTCCAAAGGATCCAAAGGGCTCTTTCGGATGTTTCTACGGGTGGCCGGCTGCGTGTCCCTTCTGTTTCCTCAACAAACTTGAAGCTCGGCCCATTTGTCAAGGGCTGCAGGTGAAACGACTTGAAAATTAAAAAAGAACCAGCGACTGTGATACTGGGCTCGGTCCAGCACACGTGCCGGCTCTCGAGGAAAAGCCAGGTCTCTTCGATCTCCTTTACAATAGCTTAAGGGTTTTTTTAAGGCACGACAGGGTCGAGCCATGCCCCTGGGTTGGCAAACCATCGATATGACAGGGCTGCAACAAGCAAGGTTGTCCCTGCAAAAGCTGAGCTTGCAAAAACGGGGTCGAGGAGGAAACCGTGGCACCACCTTTGATACACGAATGGAAGGCCAAAGTTTAAAAGGTTCACAGAGTACCCCGCACACTTGATGGCGTAACAAGCTGAAACACTACTCTTCTCATGCCCTTTCCTCTGCATCCATCGTGCGATCCTGCTCAAGAGGAGGTGCATATTTGGCGACACCCACAGCCACCATGCCGCTGTTGTTATCAGGAGGGAAGTGGCATACCGGTGCGCACCTCCATGGGCCCGTGCCGCAACAAAGTCGGCCTGGCCACACCAAACGACATAATTGCCCCCAAGAAGCCAAAAATATCCAAACGGGAAGCCGCCACTGACCTGGGCGACGAAAGTATCACAGACTTTGTGCCGCACGCATGCCTCCAATGCCTCCACAGAGCCGAACCACTGCACGATGCAATTCTCCAGGATGACCCGGTCACACGGCATGCGCTCGCCATCCCGCACGTGATCTACCGAGCAGCAATGACACTTGAGATTTTGCCAACTGAAAGTTCGAAATTGCTGCTCGGCCACGGAGACATCGTGCCAGAAACGTTCAAACAAATGAGTGAATAGCAAGGTCACGCCGCAGATGTACACCACCCGTATCAGGAGGAAGAAGGCAGTTGAGGGCAAGCAGATATCCATAGCCATCAACCCGGCCACGTATGTCATCATAATGAGCGTGTACGGTGCAAGGGCAACGTGCTTGATCACAAGCTTCGATCGCCCGTCTTCTTTGTGGCTGTGAAAGAATGCCGCTAGCTCGAACACGCACCATAGCCTGGCAAAAACAAACATTGTTTTGGGTAGACGCTGGCGAGTCCATAAGTAGATTACTTGAGTGACAACCAGACATCAGACCTCTTCAATGTTGGGGTAGATTTCGTCGGGTTGCGGGCATAGTAATGACAAGGCTTAGGAGCTCTTAGGACTTAGGGCTTGAGACTTTAGGCGTCTGGTCTAGTTTCCAGAGGCCCGTTCACGGATGGTTCATGCTTTGAGCCTCTTCTTTGGCGGGCTGGATGCGCGCAGGGTGCTGGCTGGCCGGGATCCCCAGTGGCCTCAAGGCCTTTCCCGACTGCACTTTTGCTTGGTAGCAAGAATTATACACTGGCCTGTTTGGGCTGACTTTGACTGCCACAAGGCACCGGTCTTTGCGGTATCTCTTTGGGGCGTCACACCCTGCACGGGTCTGCGGATGGGTTCTTGAAATCATGCTGCGGAAAAGAATGACCACAAAGTGAGAAAAACAAATGATGACCTTGCACAAGTGGATTGGCAAAATGGGCTTGATTGATGAGCTTATATTAAAGGAGTTTGCTTGAATACTGAACGACGATCAAGATAACAATTTATGTGTGCAGGCATGCATACGTACATACATGCATACATACATACACACATACAATCTTACATTACATCATTACATGACATTACATTACATTACATTACATTACATTACATTACGTTGCATTACATTGCATTGCATTACATTACATGAAATTACATTACATACATTACATGCATACATTACATGGCATACATTACATACGTTATATACATACATACATACATTCATTCATTCATACATAAAAAACAGACATGCATAATGACATAAATAACTACATACGTACATATGTACATAAATACATTAATTACATACACTACATACATTACATTGCATACATTACATACGTTACATACGTTACATACGTTACATACACTACATAAATTACATCCATTACATACGTTACATGCGTTACCTACATTACCGACGCTACATACAATGCAAACAATACTCACAGTACATACGTTGCATACATTACATACATTACATACATTACATACATTACATACATTACATACATTACATACATTACATACATTACATACATTACATACATTACATACATTACATACATTACATACATTACATACATTCCATGCATTACATACATTTCATACATCACATACACTACATGCATTACGTACACTACATACATTACATACATTGCATACATTGCATACATTACATACATTACATACAGTACATACGAAAACATGTCGCGAAAGATAATTTTTTCGTTGAATCATGCACAAATGGGGGGCACAACTTGAAGTGGCGAAAGCGCCTCAAGTCATCCCCGGGCGCAGACAGCTTAGGCAGGGCATGTCGGGGAAGACTTCCCCGCTGCTGATCAACAATGCTTGCAAGGCAAAGGGCAGAGAAATCAAACGAACGGCTCCACAAGGCATCGGTTATCCAAGCCTTTCGATCGCCCTTGACTCAGTAGTGTACTGGTAGTTGGCGAGAGTAATTAGTGCTATGTCTTGATCGCGAAATGGGCATGTAGTTCAAACTGGCGCCGAACGAAACCTCTAGTTACTCGAGATGATGCTGTCAAAGCCTGGCTGCCTGGAGAGGTACGTCGGGTCCCAGACCACCACGAGGGTCCTGGAGCCTTTCAAGAGGGCACCAAGCTGCAACATGGCCTGGGCCTTCAAGTCTTCGTCCCCCTGATGGATGCAAACCCGGTCGAGGAACACTCGGTCCCTAGATCGCCACAGAAGCAGCGTCACCAACGAGGCAACAACGCCGCTCACGAGGGCCCAGGGGCTGTGCCTGAACTCACCGGAGTAGCCTGGTCCTTGGATTTGGGGCACCTTGTACCACCCCGGGAGGATGTCCAGATACGACAGGAATGCCGCAAGGAAGGCGACGAGGATGCCCACGCAAACTGCAGGACAGCCATTCTTGAGAACAAGCAGCAGCCAGATCTTCATGAACCGGCTCCCATGCCAGCTGTGGGACCAAAACTCTTTGATGAAGGGCACCTGCACACTCAGCGAATACAGCTTGGCGGGGTCGCTTGACCTGTTCCGGAGCACTTGCCCAAGCTGTCTCAGCACCACCCACGCCGGGACAGCGCGAAGAAGTTCCGGGTTGCGGAGCTCCATGCCGGAAACGACGCCCACGATATTTGCAATGATTCGCTGTTCTCCTGACCCTTCAGCGACTGAAGCTTCGCCACTGGCTTGAGTCGGATCGCCGCTGAACTCCGGCACAATTCCAACATCATCAGCATCCCGGGATGCCATGGGCTTCGCCGGCGACACGGGAGGCACTCTTGACTCTCGCATAAACTACGCAGCACATGGACTTCGATGATTCTGTGCTCGTAAGGACAGAATAATTAGAGACGTGTGCATACATATATATATATATGTATGCTACCATATTTGTGTATACATGAATGTTTTGGCACGTGTCTCAGCGTTGTATATGTATATACAACCATAACACATGGTCTAGAACAAAAGTCGAAACGATTTGAGCTGCTCCGGTCCATCAGCGCGCACGCATGTCACAGCACCATTGTAGCTCAAGTGCCGAGTCAAGCCATTTAATTTCAACATGGCACATGAACAATGAACGAGGTGACCGTGGATCTGACAAAAGTCACCGCCACAGCATGACCCAAACACTAGCTTTGCCACGAAACAAGCCCATACCAGCGTTTGCGCTCTTATGGCCTTGCTACTCTGGGCTTTTGGGTCTCCGAGACCACGTAGACGAAAGTCGAAAGGTTCTTCTAAAGGTGCTGATCGCAGCAAGGCCTCTCTGCCCTTCATGGGGCTTAGTGAAAAGGGATGGCATGATATGACTAGCAAGTGCTGGGCCTAGTCTCGGAATGTCTCGGGGGATTCGGGCTTTTGAATAGTTTTGAGAACGTTCATAGACAGCATGTCCTGATGGGATTTGGGGGCTCTCTGATGCTCAAAAAGCAGCATGAACCTCCAAGTAGGAGGGCTGATTATAGGAGGGCTTGCATCCGAGGCTGGCCTCTTGAGCTCCCAGCACGCGAGCCTGTCAACGACAGCAGGTGCGGGGTCAGGGTCCGTGATCTCGGGTTTAGGCTTTTGGGTGTGGGATGGTGTGGGCATGGGGGGGTGGCATGGGGGGAGGACCAAGTACAAGCAGAGCAACATGGAGCAACTCTCTCACTGAACGCAAGCACGCATGTCGCATGCAATTTGCACGTGCTCGGCTGAGTCGGAGTTTCCACTGTGCAAACTGCCCCATCTTGAGAGGCCCGTCTGAGAATTTGCAGGGAGGGACTGGTGAAACGTAGTGACTGGAACTCTTTAAACAGTTCGGGAACCCACAACCGTGATGCACGTTGCAGTCGGGGATCTCCCTATCATGAAAAACCGGATCTAACCCGCGTGCAGCCCCAGAGGGCAAAGTCGCGCCAGCTCCAGGACCAAATTGGTCGAGGATCTTCAGGTCTTAAGACTTGAAGGGTTCTTAAGGCACGGCAGGACAGATCCATGTGTCGGGTTGGCAAGCCATTGATATGACAAGGCTGCGAAGAGAAGGGCGGTCCCCGCAAATACAACGGCTGCAAGAACGGGGTCGCCGAGGACGGTGTAGCACCCCCCCTGGTAAAGGAAGGGAATGTTAGAGTTCACAATGTTCGCAAAGTACCCCGCGCACTTGACGGCGTACAAAACGGGAGCACTAAGCTTCTCCTGCTGTTTCCTCTGCATCCATCGTGCCACCCTGCTGAAGATGAGGTGGTTAGTCGGCACCACCCACAGCCACCACGCCACCGTTGTGACCAGGAGGGAGGCGGCATACCACCGGTCACCTCCATGCATCCGTGCTGCAAAAAAGTCCGCGTGGCCATACCAAACGCCGAAGTTGCCACCAACGAGCCAAAAATACCCAAAAGGAAAGCCGCCACTGACCTGCGCGACGAAAGTATCACAGATTTTGTTCCGCACGCATGCCTCCAAAGCCTCCACAGAGCCGAACCACCGCACGACGCATTTCTCCAGGATGACCCGGTCGCATGGAATGCGATTTCCATTTGCAGCACGGTGATTTGCAGCGCAGCACTCACAAGTGACCGCATGCCAGCTGAATCTGCGAAATTGCTGCTCGGCAACAGCGACATCGTGCCAGAATTTTACAAGAAAGTGAGTGAATAGCACCGTCACTCCACAAACGTACACCACCCTCACGAGGAGGAAAAGATCACTTGTGGGCAAGCAAATCTCCAGAACCATCATAACTGCCGTCTGCGTCACCATAAAGCACATAAACGGTGCTAGGGCAACGTGCTTGATTACAAGCTTCGATCGCCCGTCTGCTTTGTGGCTGTGAAAAAATGCCGCGAGCTCGAACACACACCATAGCCTGGAACAGATGGTTCTCACTGTTCACGTTGCTGTTGATGCTGCTGGCATTGGTTGTTGCTGTTGCAGCCGTGGTTTCTGTTGTGGTGTGAAGAATGTATTGCACTTTATTGCACTTTTCCTCCCCAAGCTTAGCTCTTAGGACTCGTCCTGACAGGAACAGCCACATGTCCGGACCGCTCCAGTCTTTGCATTGGCACGCACAGTAGCAAAGCTGAAGATTTGCCGGGAAGATCCGGCCTCCCCCCGCCCCCCCCCACCCCGGGAGAAAAACTTGGCCGTGAAAAGTGGCAGGGTCGCCAGGATGCTAAAACCCGCAAGAAAGCTCATGATAACGGATTTCCCACGCAGCCGTGGAGGGCACACCCTCGGATGGGCCCACCAGCAGAAACTGCGAAAAATCACACCCGGTTTCGTTGGCCTGCCTGCCCATAGAGAATCCCGCAGAAGGTCCCACCGATGATCCTTGGAGTGTGGAACTCAGAGACGCCGAGGCCCAAAACAGGAGCTTGCGGCGAAGCCGGCATGGCTCCGGCATCGGGTAGGTGATTTTCACGTCGCTTCTTTAGATTGTGGTTGTCGAATGTTGGTCCATTGTGTTTTTGTATTGTTTGTACGGGTCGCATTTGTCTTCATATTGCTGTCTGGAGGTGGGCACTGCAGGAACTCGGCGGGACCCCTAAAACTGCCACAGAAGGGTGCTGCTAAAGCCTGGCCGCCTGGAGAGGTACGTCGGGTCCCAGACCACCACGAGGGTCCTGGAGCTTTTCAGGAAGGCGCCAAGCTGCAAAATGGCCTGGGACTTCAAGACTTCGTCCCCCTGATGGATGCAAACCCGATCCAGAAACACTGGGCCCCCAGGCCGCCACAGAAGCAGCGTCACCAACGAGGCAACAACGCCGCTCACCATGGCCCAGGGGCTGTGCTTGAACTCACCGGAGTAGTGCACCTTGTACCACCCCGGGAGGATGTCCAGATACGATAGGAATGCCGCAAGGAAGGCGACGAGGATGCCCACGCAAACTGCAGGACAGCCATTCTTGAGAACAAGCAGCAGCCAGATCTTCATGAACCGGCTCCCATGCCAGCTGTGGGACCAAAACTCTTTGATGAAGGGCACCTGCTCACTCAGCGAATACAGCTTGGCCGGGTCGCTCGACGTGTCCCGGAGTACTTGCCCAAGCTGTCTCAGCACCACCCAAGCCGGCACGGCGCGAAGAAGTTCTGGGTTGCGGAGCTTCATGCCAGAAACGACGCCCACAATCCTGGCCGTAGCCGTAGCCAGCTGTTCTTCTGACCTTGCGGCAGCTGAAGCTTCGCTAATGCCCGGAACCGGATCCGGGACCAGGACGGCGCGAGGTTGTTCTGGGTTGCGGAGCTCCATGCCGGAAACGACGCCCACAATCCTTGAAGTAGCCAGCTCTTCTTCTGATTTTGCGGGGACTGAAGCTTCACCATTGGCCTGAACCGTCTCGCCACTCTCCTCAGGGACCGGGATAGTGCGAAGAAGTTCTGGGTTGCGGAGTTCCGTTCCAGAAACGATGCCCACAATCCTTGCCTGTTCTTCTGACCTTTGGGCAGCTGAAGCTTCGCCAATGGCCTGAATCAGGTCGCCACGCTCCTCCACGGCAATGTTTACATAATAATGAACATCTTGGGATGCCATGGGCGGCGCCGACGGCACGGGATACCCTAATTGTAGACTCACACGGTGGGCTACCTATGAAGAAACCCGTGGAACCACAGTTACTCATTCTCTCATGGGGTTGGGAGCTTGCGGTTGTCTTCCTTTCCTGCCGCCCCTAGAATACATCAGTGCGGAATGGCCGCGGTTCGACAGATTCTGCCATGCCGGCTCGTCACAAAGAACCAAAGCTCTTACCAACGCATGCATAGTTAGCCTTGCCACATGCCTGTGCGGCCTATGCTGTTCAAGACGCGCCATAGGACGCCTCAAGACAATGCACCCGACAGACTATGCAGCATGTGGGCTTCGAATGTGTACCTAAAAGCCGGCATGCTGTGACAGTTGCCTTATCCACGTCTATACATGCGAGTCTGTGCCCGAAGTAGAACCATGTCTCCTGCCCCCATCTGCCTGGCCGGCTGGCAGTCCATGCACGACTCTCTGGCGCCCTGCCATGTGGTTCACCCCCAGGTTTTCACGTCGATAAGAACTGGAAGAAAAATCTGATCACACGTCATCCCGCAGACAGACCCCGCACCATCCGCGTGCGCACCAGATGGCAGATGATGCTACAGCCCAAGCGCAAGTATCAGATTAGTCAGAAGTATGCATCAAGAAAACTGATGCTCACAGTCTCTCTGCGCTTGAGAGCGCCTTTGTTTAGTTTTATTTTTCGCTTTTTTTTGGGGGGGGAGGGTTGAGGGGGGTTGCATGAGGTAGTCATTACGCTAAACAGTGTGTTATAACTATGAATCGAATGGAAGAAATCAAAGACGTCTTTGAGGATTGCGTTCTCTACGGTCTTGGTGTATTGGACCGTTGTGCTCCTGGGTGGGTGAGGCTTCAAAAGCATGTCGTGCCAGAAGGATCATGGCACTGCCACTGTGAGATTTGCACAAGACATTGGCATGATGCGAACGCTGCTGGGTTCAGAGCCTCACAGGATTCGGGCTTTTAACTAGCTTCTGTTCTTCGATGTCGGCATGCCTTCAGCAAATGCCGGCACAACGTGCACAAGTCAGCGTTTTAAAGTTCAGATTTCCGGCCGGCGTGAGGTCAACGACGGCAAGTGCGGGCTCAGGGTTCGTGAGTTTTTGTGGGTGTGAGTACAAGCCGCTCGAGACACTGCCACCCATTCTTCTGACATACTTGAAACACTTGAAGGCCCGTTTGTCAGGGCTGCAGGCGAAACGCTTCGACCAGAAGTTTGATGGGTTCAAGAACCCACATTTGTGGTACTGAACTCGTCTCGGGCTGCAAGCCGTCGATATGACAAGGCTGCGCAGAGAAGGGCGGTCCCCGCAAATGCAATGCCTCCAAGAACGGGGTCAAGGAGGACAGCGTAGCACCACGACTGGTACAGGAACGCAATGCCGGAATTCAGAATATTCGCAAAGTACCCCGTACACTTTACAGCGCACAAAACGGGAGCACTAAGCTTCTCCTGCTGCTTCCTCTGCATCCATCGTGCCACCCTGCTGAAGATGAGGTGGTTAGTCGGCACCACCCACAGCCACCACGCCACCGTTGTGACCAGGAGGGAGGCGGCATACCCGTGCGCACCTCCGTGCATCCGTGCTGCAAAAAAGTCCGCGTGGCCATACCAAACGCCGAAGTTGCCAACCAGGAGCCAAAAATACCCGAAAGGAAAGCCGCCACTAACTTGGGCGACGAAAGCATCACAGATTTCATTCCGCACGCATGCCTCCAAAGCCTCCACAGAGCCGAACCACTGCACGACGCATTTCTCCAGGATGGCCCGGTCGCATGGAATGCGTGTTCCATTTGCAGCACGGTGATTTGCCGCGCAGCACGCACAAGTGACCGCATGCCAGCTGAACCTGCGAAATTGCTGCTCGGCAACAGCGACGTCGTGCCAGAATTTTAGAAGAAAGTGACTGAATAGCACCGTCACTCCACAAACATACACCGCCCTCAAAAGGATGAAAAGATCACTTGTGGGCAAAGAGATCTCCATAATCATCAAAATTGACGTCTGCATCACCATAAAGCACACAAACGGTGCTAGGGCAACGTGCTTGATCACAAGCTTCGATCGCCCGTCTGCTTTGTGGCTGTGAAAAAATGCCGCGAGCTCGAACACACACCATAGCCTGGAACAGGTGGTTGAATGTGTATGCATATTCATATGGATATGTAGATGTATATGTGTATATGCATATGTATATGTAAATGTATATGTATATGTATAATGTAGACGGTATAATTATATGTATATGTATATGTGTATGCGAATGTGTCTGTGTCTGTGTATGTGTATGTGTATGTATGGCATGACTGCACCCTGCCACAAGTGTCGGGTAACCGCTAGTCAAGGCGTCTAGAAATCTCGAAAATGTCATTGGCTCGACGTCTTCATGGTTGTCACTATGGACATTGCTGTTGATGTTGTTGTTGGTTGTTGCTGTTGCTGCTGTGGTTCCTGTTGCGGTGAAACATGTAGTGCACTTTCTCGCACTGTTCCTCCGCAGGCTTACCTCTTATTCACTTGTCCAAGAGCAGCCACATGTCCGGACGGCTCAAGACTTTGACCGTTGTGCGAATTTCGCACGGGAGCAGAACTGAAGATTTCAAAGCATTTTGTGATCTAGCAGCGATGGGAGAAGATGGCGCCTTTGCCGGGAAGATCCTCTCCAACCCGCTGATTGGGAAGAGTAGTCACGGAGTTTTTAACAGTAAAAACATTGCCAAACGACGGTTCTGGGAAGCCTTCCGTTTGTTTTCAGGCCCTTTTGCCCCCGAATTAAGACTGGAAAATACGACGTCCCCCCCTCCCGCTCCCCGCCAGAACGAACCTAGGTCAGGTCGTTAGGATGCTGAAACTCGCACAAAAAAAACATACACTACGAAAATCACAAGCCAAAAAGAAGCAATATAAAAATCATATACTTCAATCATCCCCACTCTACAGCTGCCCCGATGCCGAACGTGGGCTTGTCCACCCCCCCAAAAGTCAAAAACTGCCACGCCTGGAGAGGTACGTCGGGTCCCAGACCACCACGAGGGTCCTGGAGCCTTTCAAGAGGGCGCCAAGCTGCAAAATGGCCTGAGCCTTCAAGACTTCGTTTCCCTGATGGATGCAAACCCGATCCAGAAACACTGGGTCTCCAGATCGCCACAGAAGCAGCGTCACAAAGGCGGCTACAAGGCCGCTCACGAGGCCCCAGGGGCTGTGCCTGAACTCGCCGGAGTAGCCTGGTCCTTGGATTCGGGGCACCTTGTACCACCCCGGGAGGATGTCCAGATACGACAGGAATGCCGCAAGGAAGGAGACGAGGCCGCCCACGAAAACTGCAGGGCAGCCATTCTTGAGAATGAGCAGCAGCCAGATCTTCATGAACCGGTTCCCATGCCAGCTGTGGGACCAAAACTCTTTGATGAAAGGCACCTGCTCACTCAGCGAATACAGCTTGGCCGGGTCGCTCGACGTGTCCCGGAGTACTTGCCCAAGCTGTCTCAGCACCACCCAAGCCGGCACGGCGCGAAGAAGTTCTGGGTTGCGGAGCTCCATGCCGGAAACGACGCCCACAATCCTAGCCGTAGCCAGCTGTTCTTCTGACCTTTCGGCGGCTGAAGCTTTTTCAATGGCGCAAACCGGATCGCCAATCTCCTCCGGGACCGGGATTGTGCGAAGAAGCTCTGGGTTGCGAATCTCCACGACGCCTACAGTCCTAGAAGTAGCCAGCTGTTCTTCTGACCTTTCGGGGGCTGAAGCTTCGCCATTGGCCTGAATCAGGTCGCCACTCTCCTTCGGGAAGGCAAGGTCAACATCATCAACATCTTGGGATGCCATGTGCGGCGCTGATGCCAGGGGACGCACCAACGGTACACTCACACAGCTGTCTTCTACCCATGAAGAAGCCCGTAACCACCGTTACTCTTGCTTTATTGGGATTGGGAGCGTGCAGCTTGCGGTTGCCTTCCTTTCATCAGTGTGGGAATGGCCACGGATCGACACGTTACAAAGAACCAAAGCTCCTACAGGGCGCCACCAGCCCTGTTTAAGATGTGCCATGCAACGCCTCAAGTCGGGCCAACTATGCAGCATGTTTGTGTGGAATGTGTGCTTGCAACTGCCTGTACACATGTACAACAGTTACGAAAAGCCGACCTGCCGTGGGACAGTTGCCCTATCTACGTGTATGTCGTAGGCAGCAAGCGCCTCCTCTCGTCGGGGCTGCAAGCTCTATCGCCTGATGTGGATGCTGCGCTCAACACAGCCTGCGCAAAGCTTGGCAGAAACCCTCCATGACTGCAGGAGGCAAACAAGAGCTCCGCTCTCTGAAGCAACAACATCGAATCTGTCAAAGCGTTGGGTTTCGGAGCCCAAGGCTGCATGGCGGAAGTGCTCCCTCAGCCAACAGCAACGGTCTGGCCAAGCCCCAACAGCAAGTCGCAAACCGATGGCGCCTCCTTCACCATCAGGATGTCCCCAGGTTTGAGCCACGAGCAGAACCCTAGCCTAACCCCAGTACAATTCTTCATTCGCTCTATTGGCACGAATGTAAACCTCAAGAGCTGCAATGGCTGCAATATGTCAGGCGAACTCTACTCCATAACCAAAATAACTTGCACATCCCCAGAAGAGAACCCCAAGAATAGTGGCGGACACTAGCTTATCTAGCTTACTAGCAAAACTCTCACGCATTTTACTCCGACCTCCACCAACAGAATTCCTGAACTTCCAGATTCGGGGTCCCTGCATGGTTCCTGGAAAGTCTCTTCCTTCTACTAGGTTTTCAGCTTCTCCCCCCCAGAAGATGGACACAAAGCTTTTTCATGTCACACAACCACACGCTTGAGCACCACGTCCAGCACGATGGTACCGAGGGTAGAGCCCTGGCTGGTTGCGTGTCTGGGGTTTAGGGAGGTAGGGAGGGTCTGGGGTTTATGGTCTAGTGTTGAGGGTTTAGGGAGTTTAGGGTGAGGGTTGTGAGGGTTTAGGGTTTAGAGCTTCCGGCGAGCTGAATGAGGCAAGCGGTAAGAAAGGCTGCCAACCCAGGATGTCTCTACCTACGTCCCTGCTCATGACTCAGATTTCTTGGAACTTCCTTGGCTGAGACTGGAAGCTGAAGAAATAGATGGAGGGCCTGAGCTGACAATGCGCTAAGGGATGCTGCCCGCGCCTCGCCATTGGCGATGCGGACCTTGTTGAAAACTGTGTTGTACAGCCTCCTGGCACATGAATTGTGTTTGCAGGCGCGAAAAGTCGTTACGAAGGTCTTTCCAACAACTCTGGAAGTGATGTAGTCCCACGTGCCCGGAGAGTGGCCCTGAACTGCTCCTCTTCATGTCGTCTCGGTCAGGAAGAGGCTGCAAGTCCTGCCCTCGGAAGAGCTTCCGTCGTAAAGACAAACTACAGTTTTCTTGATCCCCTGGCTCACGCACAGAGTGGTACTTGGCTAAGCCCGGCTTCTGTCGCAATACGGCCCAAGTTGTCTGACCCGTAGGCAACCGTGCTTGAAAAAGGCTTGGGTGTCCATGCCATCCTGAACACCCCTCGTAGCCCCACGCAAGCAACAGAGGAAGCACAGGGATTAGGGGCGCTTCTTGGCTTCTGATATTCCGGTACCATGCGTGCTGCCCTGGGGGACTTATGCCTGCCACTGTGGCTGTGGAGTTTCTAAGGCAAAAGTTTTGAAAGCAACTGCTATGACAGCAACTGCCGCCGGGTCTGCACAGGCTGGACTGCGAAGGAGCCCACACGAAAAAGCTCGAACCTGAACTCGTCCGAGCAGCCACTCAGCCAGAAGACCTGAATTCAAGTGTTGAGCCCTTCGCATCATCTCCTTCTTGGTAGGCAATCGGCGGTGGGATCAGGAAGCGCCGATAGCCTCCCTCCCGCATGCCACGTATCCCTTTCAGGGTGGACGGCTCAAGGGCTGGGGGGATTTAAGGGGCTTCAGGGGAACTAAGGCCATATCACCTTATGTCGCCTGCTCTTTGATACCTTGTGTGATACAACCCTTCTCGTTTGATTCTTCCGCATGCCAAGGGCCGAGCAAAGCAACAAAGAAGCGCGTGAAGCAGCGGAAATGTCACAGACATTCACAGACCATTTTTCAGAGCTGGCCGAGGAAACGGAAACTGCAAAAGCCGATTCCAAAAATTCCGGCTGCTGGTTGTCTTTAATGGGTTTTTCAAGGGCCGCTTATATAAGGGGTGCGAGGTCTCAGGTATCGGCTCTGACTCTGCCCCCCCCCCCCCAAAAAAAACAAACAAGAAGAAGAAGAAGAAGAAGAAGAAGAAGAAGAAGAAGAAGAAGAAGAAGAAAACAAAGCCAAACAGCGAGCTTGACAGTAGGGGCCTTCATCCAGCCCAGCGATCGTCGACCCGTCCCCGACCTGCAGAGACAGCTGCCAAAGATCAACAGTCGCGAGAACATCCGCGTAAACAAACTGAAAACACTAAGCCCTAACCGGCCCTAACCTTGACCCTGAGCGGGGAGCGGCCTTGTGCTGCCCGCAACCACGGGGAGGCTCTTTGTGCTTAAGTACAAAACGGCAGGCGTGTACTTTCCGGCATGCGCGAGTCCTGAGAGAGGCACGCAAATCCTGGACTCGAAACGGGACTTGGAGTCCGGAAACTGCACGCCTCCCGAGTATTTGCTTGTCGCGCTCCCCTTTTTTAAGCTTTTCAAGACGCACCCCGCTCCAAATCTCTCACACAAGCACAGTCTCTAAGACCTGGCATGCAAGCCAAGTATTTGCAAATGGGGGGCTGTGCCCTCCCCCAACCATCCCGCTGGAGTATCTGCAAATATTCAGACAGAGTACTTGCTCGGGATGTGTGGTGTTCTTTGTTTGTTGCGGAACTATTTGCAAAAATGGGGGGGCTGCGCCCCCTCCAACCCCCCCGCCCCCCGCTCAAGATCTCGCAAGCACAGTCTCTAAAATCTGAGCCAAGTATTTGCAAATGGAGGGGCTGCCCCCCCCCCCCCCCCACCCCCCCGCTGGAGTATCTGCAAGCATTGAAATAGGGTACCCCCCAAACCAGGGTTTAGGTTGCGCCCAAGGGTGGCGCATGGGACACGCAAGGCTGGTGCAAGACAGCATGGCCGATGTGAAGCCATGGGCCTCAGCAGGATCTTCGCAGGTGGGCAGCTAAAGGTTTCCCCAGGAAGCAGGACGGCAAAACATGGACAGCTGCGCCAGGGCCAGCACATCGCGATGTGTAGAGCAAGGTGAGCAAGATTTGTGAATGAGGGCCCCAGGGAGCTTGTCGGTACTACGTTTTGTACTCCCCCAAGCCGCGGGACTTCCTGAGGCCCCCTTTGTGGCAATAGGCCCTAAACCCTAAATCCTATCCCCAAACCCCAACCCCCCAACCCCAAACCCCAAACAGATGGCCTTGAACCTGAGCTCACAGTCTGGGTCGTTGCATCGGCCGTAGCTCCAGCCCTGCTTGCCTTGCTTGGGGTTCGGGGTTTAGGGTTAGGGTTTGGCCCCTCTACTTTGACCTTAAGAGCACAAAGCGTCCTAAGAGCACTCGAACAGGCTTTCGGTTGTCAACCATAATGCGGAAAGAAGATTCCACAGAACGCGGCTTTCATCAGACAGTTGAGGAGGTTCCAGGGTTGTGTTCTTCGCCACGCGAGGAGTGTGGGAGCTGTTCCTTTCAGAAGCCCACATGGGAGTTTCGGCAAAGGGGCATCCTTTTGGGGGATTCCTTGCGGGATTTCATTTTATTTGGGGTAGCAACAGGCCACCCCTATTTTGGGAAATGCCCACCCCACATCAAGAATCTGAGAGAATCACCCCGAAGGCTCAACGCGAGTCCTCACCAAAGCAGATCCAACAGGGACTTTCTTGCCACCCGCCCGGCAGACTAACGTCGCACTGCAGGTGTTTGGGATTTTGGGTTTATGGGGTTTAGGGATTTCGGTCTGTGAAGGCGAGAGTTGCGCAAGCTCAGAGCGGGGGGCTTTAGGTTACTCGAGGCTCCAGGGGTTCCTTGGAGGGATTCCTCTACACCACCCATTGTTTGACGGGCTTCGGGTTCACGAGCTTTGGAGCTTAGCAGAAGGGAGCTTTCAGCCGGGCCGCTGTACAAGCGGCCGGACCATTGAACTCGCACCGTCGACCCCTGACACTGAGGTGGGGAGCTCTTTCGAAAACCACGTGTAGGGCTCGTGTGCACGGAACTGTTCTTTCTTTTGGGTTGCTTGGGGTTGCAGCCTCGGCCATCTTGTGCTTCCCTCCACCCGCACCCACATCATGGAAGCGTGCCCGGGGCACCTCATCGGCTGCAACGCCTTTGCCTCGCACACTTGTGTTGATTGGTCCAAGAGTTCTTTCAGCAATATTGCCGGGCGCCTGGGCGCAGCTCGATGAACTTCAGGCCCCGGTTCCCCAGGGCCTGGCTTTTGATTCTTGTCTCTCTTCACTCCCCTCTACATAGGGGTTCGAGGGCTGCAGGTGGAGGGTTTAAAGTCCAGAGCTGTGGGTTGAGGGTTTTGGGGTTCTTGGGTTGATGTGCCAACCTTCTGCACGATAACCTCGGAACCCTAGAACCCTAAAGCCCATGAACCCACGCGAATTCGAGATTGACAGGAAGGACTGAATGACTTCAAAACCCCAAACCGCCTGCCACTGCTCTGCGGGTGGTGCATCCTCCTCGGCTCGGAGAGGAGGGGAGTAGGGCGGGAGGGCCCACCTCGACTTGTCCTCTATATGGCCCTGCAGGATGAGGGGTTTCAGCTTTCCGAAAAGCCCTTCCAAGAACCTCAGGGGACCGAATCGCACGCCCTCAAGTTCCAAGTAGAGCGAGCTGCCCACCATCCTTCACACTTCGATGGGTTTGGATTGAGGGCTGAGGATTCAGCAAGGTTCACGCTTTGGGGCCCAGGGTTTCTAAGGTTTGCAGGTAAGGGTTTCGGGGCTGCTCGCACTGCAACCCTACACCCTCAACCCTGTTTGCCTAGATCCAAGCCCCACCTGGCCCCTGCTGTGCCCCAAAGAGAGCGTGCCTGCGCCACTGCAGGCGAGGAAAGGCCTGTGAAGGCTCTGCACTTGGCCCGGGCTCTGCGGGGAACACAGGGTTTAGGGTTTAGGGTTGAGGAATTAGGGTTTAGGGTTTAGGGTTTAGGGTTGCGGGTTTAGGGTTTTTTTTTTGCCACCCGACTAGCCACAGCAATGCGGGGTACTGGGTCGGAACTGAAAAGGAGAAACGTCACCCCCGAGCAGTGTAAGGCTACAGGGGATATCGCCCAGAGGGCATTCATGGTAGGACATCGCGTTCGGACTACATGTTTGGGGGGGGGCTTTAGGGTTTCGGGTTTAGGGCTTCGGCCTGCAACCAGCGCCGCCGCTAAAGGCCGGCGCCGCCACAGCGGGCCCGCGAAGGCCGGATCCTCACTCTGACTTCTGGACATCTTTGGACTTAAGGTTTGGGGTTTACAGTATAGATTTCAGGGCTTAGGGTTTAGGGTGTCAAGTTCAGGGTTCCGGGTTCATGGTTCCGCGTTTAGGGTTTAGGGTTCCGTGTTTAGGTTTCGGGTTCCGATTTTAGGGTTGCGGGTTTAGGGTTCCGAGTCTAAGGTCCAGGGTATCGATGTTGGGATAGTACAGGTTTGGGCTTTGCGATAATACTCGGTTCGTTCTTTGTTTAGGGTGTGGCTGTATGCTGTCGACAGCTTGGGTTCCATATCAGCCTCAACAACACCCCTTTAATGATTGGAGCTGATTACAACAGCGGGTCCCCACGGTCCCCAGTAAAGTGCAATGGCAAGCAGAAAGGAGATCTCGGATAAAGGGCGCCTAATAATGACTTTAGGGTTGAGGGCTGTTTCGTGTTGCAAGTTCAAGTTGAAAAGTCGTCAGCTTCTTTTTGATGTGGGCCAGGGGAAGTTTTCAGAAACAGTTCTGGTAAAGACAAGAGAAGACAAGGACACGGCGCACACCAGCCAAAATTGTCCTACCCCATCATTTCTACGGCGACCCAACAATCCTGCCAAACCCTGTGCCCTTTTGCACAGTAACCCAGAAGCCCTTTTGCACCCTAACCCAGAAGCCCGCCAACCCATTGAAGCTCCAACTTTAACACCATCAGCCTCCTCCCACAGGGTCCAAGACCCTAATGGGCCGCAAGGCCCTTGCCAGAAGGAGATGCTAAGGCTTCCGTCTATCCACAAAAAACTTGAAAAACTAAAACCTTCTCTAGAAGCGAAATAATGGATCGCATAAGAAGGTCCCAGGGCGAGGGCAGGCTTGGAGCAACAAGGAACCAGGCCCTGCAGGGATACGCCAGGAGTCCACGGCAGCTCGAATCAGCACAGCCGCAGCTGCAAACAGGAAGCCCGCGCGGCCGCGCATACTGGTTCGACTGCGTTATGGGTTGAAAAACCTTGACAACGTAGGGGCAAGGGGGGACAGTTGCAGTAAACCCTCGATTGAGGCAGGGTCTGGCTTGCAAGCAGGGCTCGGGACATACCCTAAACCTACATGTCAGTGATGCCTTCCAACCCGAACTCCAAGCTCTCTTGGCGATCGATGCTCTGAGGCCCAAAGGTGGGCTGCTCGTGTAGCCGTGTCTGAGTGAGAGCCAACGGCACTAGCATCTTCCACGCAGCACCACTCGCAGCACCAACAGCACCACTACCGGTCGGACCACCATCACCATCACCACCACCACCACCACCACCACCATCACCACCAGCACCATCTACTCTGCACTACTAATCAAAGCAACCACTGCCACGACCACAATGGTGACGACCACAAACTAGTGAGGAAACATGCCGGGGCAAGACTTTGATCCAAAACGAAGGCCAGAGTATACTCCGGGCCCCATGCCACCTCCTCATACTCCAACGTACCTGCTTGTTGACTTAGGTCTATATGGCCAGGGTCCGTGGGACTCTTTTTATGCATTGTGGGCCAGTACACGGAACATCAACTTATGAAACGAATCTGTGGAAATGGTGGCTGTTGGGGTCAATCAAGAAACTTCCACTGTGCATGTGCTGTTGTGCTGGTTTTCTTTGCATCCGTTGTGTCACGTATCCACGTCACGGCCAAGAGCTACACAACTGCACAGCTTTCCCTTCCCCAGCTCATTAGGGACCCTTATCCTTCATGCAATTGCCTTTGCTCTGTCACAAACAAACACATGTCTTCGTGGAAGATTCAATCGCGGACTGGCAAGGCAAACGCGCTGAGAGCCAGACCACTCTTATCAACATCAATGAGGTCCACCACCTGCAACTGCTCGCTTGCAGTTTAGGGTTTTGGGGCTTAGGCAACTTGGGGGAGGTTCGAGACTTCAAAAGGGGATGCTGTTGCAAAGTCCTTCTCCGAGTCGAAAGCTCTCGCCCTCAGCACTTTCCAGATTACCAGGGCGACAGCTGAGCATACATCTACATTTCATCGACATCTCATCTCGAGATGCTCCAACACTCTAGTCCGGGCTATGATGTCCTGGCCGGAAAGTGTCAGCAACACTCTCAGACCCTAGCACTCGTGGCTACGACCGAAAGCCTAAACCCTAAACCCCTAAAAAAGAGCACCCACTCCAACTTCCGAGGCCTGGTGCAGCAACCGTTTATGCGCAAGAACCACGCGGAATGACAGAAGAGCATTGGGGTCAACCTCAACTTCCAGACATCCGAAGGGTTTAGAGTTCAGTGTCTTTTTGCCACCCGCACTGCTTGTTAACTAGGGCTTAGGGTTTAGGGTTTGGGGCACAGCTGCCTCCTTCACGCGCGTGCGCACCGGAACGATGCCGATAGCGCCCTTGGCTGACTCTTGCTGTTGGCTGGGCTGCTCTCAAGGCTAAACCTGAAAGCAGCCGAGTCGAAAACGCAAAGAACTGCGCTGTTCTCCCATGAAGATTTTTTGAGACAACAACGGTTAATCTATGAACATGTACAAAACTAGAGGCTTTCCTAATCACACCCCCGGCCGACGAAAACTATGTACGAGCATCAAAACGCAAGTACCAAAAAAATAACTCCACTTGGCAAGAACTTTACTTTAGGGCTCAGGGTTTCAGGGCTTCACTGGTCTGGGCTGCTCCCTCGCCTACGCAGAGCCAGCCCATGCGAACCCACTTCCATGATGGCGCCCAAGAGGTTTGGCGTAGGGTTTCCAGGCTTAGGGAGGTGGTGGGCATGGTGCTCGGAACACGCAATACTAAGCCCGCGGCCAGATACAGGCAAAGCTCTTTGATGGAGACCTTGCCATTGGAGTCCTCGCGAGATGGAGGGCGATTCAGAACTCCCTTATCTCCCTCTTCCCTTCCCTTCTTCGGTAGATCTCGACAAGAAGACCTTAAAGCTTGAACAAGTGCACGGAGGATCTCGGAGGTAAGGCCTGATCCATGGATTTGAAGATCGCCTCCATGGCTTCACGCCTCGGCCATGTACTTGCTTGGGAGGTTCTGGTTCGAGTGCCACTTCTCTCCAGGAAGGAGAGCTGGTCTAGGGTTGACAACCTGCTCTTACTCGAATTTTGGGGTCACGGCTCTTTGGGCTTCAAGAGCTCGGCAGTCAAGATCAAGGCTGTCCGAAACACACGTGTTCTTAGGGCTTGGGCGGATTCTTACCGAAGCTTGGGAGTTGCCGCCGCCGTCCCGTGGTTCAACAGGACACTCCATTGCAACCCTGCACCCTGGATTTTTCAGGCCTTTCAAACCTGGGCTGTGCGGTTTTCAAGCCTGTCCGTTGGAGCTGCAAGACGTCAAACACGCACAACCTTGGCAATCCTTGGCAGGATTGCCCAGGTCACCCGCCAGCCTAAACCCTGCAAACCCTACGTGACGCATGCTGGGCACCGTGCTCCTTGTCCAGCCACTTCCTTGGCGCAATTCTCGTCAACCTCACCCTTTGAGTGGGGAAGTATGGAAAGGATCTACATCTGCCCTAAAGTTCGGGACCCCAGACCAAGGGTAGAAAATGACCCCTTTTTAACCACGGACTGAAGGCAATGCCGGGAAAGCGTACACGGACCGCTGCGTTTTGCGCGCGGTTTCAGCATTCTTTAGAGCTTCAAAGGTCATCAGTCTTGGAAGACCGCACATACTAGCAAAGGTACTCGCGCAGAAGCATCATTTAGCAAGCTATCGCTGTGTGAATCATCTGCAAACGAGAAACGGAATACTCGACAGCAAAACCCAGAACAACGCCGCTGGGAAAAAAGAAACCCTAAACCCGAAACAGAAGCAACTGTATCGCCGACATAGATCTTTAAGCTCGGGCCCAATGGTCTCTCCTAAACCCTAAAACCCTTTTTCGCCGAGGGTCTCTAAGATGTCCTTCAAGTCATTGAGGTCAAGCTGCGAGTACGGCGCCACCTGCTTTCGGGCGCTTCAGGTTTGGGGGGTGTCGAGCTTTAACAGGACTTCTATGCATCATGTAACTTTCGAAGCTACGTAACTGTCCACAGCGCACTTTATGCCCAGCCTCATCGGTGATCTTAGCCACTGCCTGCTCGTCCGGGTTGTGGATACCTTGTGCTCCAAACCTACAAATGGCGACCTCAACTTTCGAACCCCCCGGCTAACTTTCTGAGAAAGAGGCAGCCGAAGCTTGACGTGGATGGCATCCCCAGGCCAACACCCTGAAAACCCGGAAAACGCCCCGCATGGAGCTTGGGATGCTCCGGGTTTGGGTCTTTTTCTCAGGGGTTTGGGCCTACCCCACCCGGCCATCCTGGGACTTAGCTCTTTGCCAAGGTCTTGCATGGCTTTGGGCACGAGCTCCTGGGGCAAACATACCACCCCAAGTCTGGTGAACGAAGGAGGGGAGCGTAGGAAAGGGTCTCGGGTTCAGGATTTAGGGTTTAGAGTTGAGGGTTGAGGGTTGAGGGTTGAGGAGGCGATGTTACTGCGGCGGCAGCACGATCCCAGCCCTAAAGCAGAAGACAGCTCGGGACCGAAGCGAGAGCGTCATCATGTCATTTGCAACACCGCACAATGCAAGTCCCCCCCAGACCTGATGCATCATCATACTGCACTGTTCAACGAAGAGGGGCATTGCATTGTTATGCCAAACCCGCACAAGGCTCAACAGGTTTGAAACAAAGCCCTAAACCCTGGACCCCCAATCAAAAGGAGCCTTTTAAACATCTGGTCACGTCCCAGAAAAGAATGGCGAACACCTGGCCCTGAAAGCCCCAAAACCCCAAACTCCGACAAGGGAATGAAACCGAAGCCTTAAAACCCTACAGCCCTACAACATTTCTGCCTTGGCCAGCAGTTTCGTGTCGGGGTTCTTAAGGCGATCGAAGCATCGGCTGGTGGCCTGTACCTGCGCTTAAGGCTTTGGGGGCCGGGGAGGGGGGGGGGGGGGGGGGGGGTTGCGGGGGGGGCTGGCGGTCCCGTCACCTTCCCTACATCAAAGTAGTTCAGCTTGAAGTCGCTTTCGAATTCAGAACAGTCAACGAAACAGCCTGAACCGAGCAGATCCGCCCCACTCGAATCGAACCTTCCCTACTCGCCTGAACACAGGCACTCGACGTTGCTACACGTGAAAGAAGCGAAAAGCAACAGCGGTTCTGAGTCGCGGCCCAGCCTGGTGAGGGCGGTGGCCCTCGATGCTAGTTTTCAGAAGTCGGATGAATGAAAAGCCACCAACAGCTCACCAAGTTGGAGTTGTGTTTCATGGGCAGCCTTCCCTTCCCAACTAAGCGGGGGCCGCGCCCCAACGAAGATGCCTGAAGCATGGCAAGATCGGGGGCACATGCTCCTCTGATAAGAGCAAACCTGCGCAGCACCGCAGCTGTGGACACATCGGGCATCTGATCTTCAACGTTCAGGTTCAGGATGCTTCTGGGATCACTACATATCGCGAGAAGAACTGTGAACACTTAAGACACAATGTACAGATGTCATCACATATCCTGAGATCCAGGGCTTTGCACATCATCAACGGGTTGTAGAAACTCGCGCCCGGATTGTGGGGATGTTCGGCTCGACCAGCATGGCATGACCTTCTTGGCACCTCGACACCTTCCCCTGCCTGGATAAAGCTCGCATGAACAGTGACATCTCGCCCCTGTAACATCCCTTGTGGCGGGGATAACTGGTCAGCCGTAGGCCGAAGCCTTATGGGAGCGGACTGCCAGGTGCCACAGCACTAGCCGGCTGCGCACGCAGCAACCACCTTAAACCCCTGAACCTTACACCTGTGGCCAACACCCTCGACCTTGTCTTCTACCCTCAACCTCAAACCCCGATCCCTAACCCTCATCTCTGAGAACCCCTGACCCTAAACCCTGACGAAAACCCTTCTCTCCCTGAACCCAAACCATGTTGCAACAGGAGTCTGCTCAAAAGAAGAAAACCTGACCCCTGAACCCAGCCTGACTTCAGCCGCTCCAGATACTGGGCCGCCTGGGAGAGGAAGCCCCACTCCTCCAACGAAGGCGCATTGAAAGGTGAAGGGTTTTTTGGCACCCGACTAACCACGCACGGCGGGGGGTACAAAGGTTGGTCTGGTAGGGTTAAGGGCTTCGGGCTTCGGGTTTTGGGTTTTGGGGTTAGGGCTTAGGGTTTACTAGGTTAAGTTTGGCGAGGCTTCTTGTTGGCGTGTGCATCTCATGGACTTAAGTCCTTGAAAGTTGGGTGCCTGTTAGGGCTTAGCCCTTCGACTGCATTTGAAAGGCTTGGGAGCTTAGTTCTTGGATGGTTTCTTTTCCATCGGCCAGAGAAGAACTGCCCCAGGTGACTTTTTTAGGGGTCTACAGAGCTTGGGCTCAGGGATGTAAACAAGTAAAATAACCCCACCAGTCAGAATTCCATTCGAGGATGACATCTTCGGGAACCTTTTGCATCCAGGCCTGGTTCCCGAATCCGAAACCTTGAATCCTGAACCTTCGAGCCGTTACGTTTTGATGGCCCTGGAGGCTAGGGAACTATAGGGCCTAGTTCCCTGTGATGCTCTACCCTCAAGTTCCGAGAAGCCAGAGACGGCACCTTGAACCACTTGACGATGCAGGGCGGGGGGGATAGAACCCCCAAAGCTTGGCAAACAACTTCGCCTGAAACCCACGACCTTACAAAAGCCCAAACCCCTTAGCACAAAAAAAATGGCACCCGCGCCACGCCTCGCCGTGAGCTCCTTCGGCCCAGGGTCTCTGAACTTTTTGGGCTTCGGGCGTCTAGGGCTCTAAGGGTTCAAGATCTTCTTTTGGTCACGCGAAATGGGGTCTTGGGGACAATTTGAGCTTCTCTTCTTGGTCTTTGGCTTCTGGGCGGAAGGGTTCTCGATAGTTTCAGCCTAGGGCATTCAATTCTACCTTCTGGGCTGATGTTAACGTAAGTCGCTACAATAAGTAAACCGTAGACAAAAACAGCAGTGCATGTAGTACGCAAAACCGAGTATTTACTCTATGCAAATCTAGAACACTGCCTTTCCGTCCCTTGGCAGCAACCAAGGAAAGCTCTGGTCCGATGTAGGGTTTCACGAAACTTTCGGTTGCAAGCTGCCCCCTTCACAGTGCAGCTTCTGATGTCTTCAAATTCATGTGGGCCCAACCTCAGCTGCACACCCGGAATCCCGGAGCACCTCACACCTCACACAGCAAAAAGAAACCGAAACTAGCAGATCCGCACAAGAAGTGCCCACCCCCCGCCCACGTCCTGACCCTTCTGCCAGCTGAAGAAGAGATGCCTCGTTGTGGGCATGTGGTGTCAAGGGATGCGGGGTGACAGTCTCAGTGTGCGACAGGTGATGGTCCAAATGGAAGCCCTTCGGAGCAAAACCTCGCCTGAGACATGATGACGAAGCCGTGCAAACCCCTGCTTAGCCCTAAACCCCCCAAACAAACAAAACCAATCAAACCCGACATCCCCTTCCAAACTCTAAACGTCCTACACCCTTTTCTCGAGCCTAGAACCTAAACCCGAAACCCTAAACCCAAACCAAGCTGTGTGGGTGCCAACTAAAAAACCCTGGCAAGTCGAGAGAAAGTGGAGCCTTGTCCTTGTCGTCCGTGACGTGCGCCATCTGCGCCAGGAGCCCGGCTGCGGAGCTCCGCCGGCGACCCCGCCCGCCCTTGCGCGGCCGCGGCTTCCTTGGTTTAGGGTTTTTGTTTTTAACAACCCTGTGCACCTTTTCTAGTGCAGGCTTATGGCTTCGGGCCTTTTTTGCCACCTGCCTCGCTGGTTTAGGGTTAGGGTTTTAGGGGTCTTCAGCTCTGGTTGAGCTTTCAAAGCTCAAGGCTTCGGCGAGTGGGGGCAAACGCAAACCCAGCTTTTGGAGACTGAGAAAAAAGACTTCAGACGGAAACACCACTTGCAGTGCAATCTGCCATCTGTCACAATCCCCCTTTCCACTCCTTTAACATGACGGCGCATCAGATGCTACTCTTGCACCTTGTTGGTTCCTCTGTGTCGAGGTAGGGGCCTCTTGGTGAGTTAAGGCTTGGGTTTTGCGCGTCTGTCTTTTGAGGGGCTTGGGTACCTTCGCACCCTGCTGTCAGCGAAAATCTGGGTGCTAAACTAACCTCAACCTTCAACCCTAAACAAGACCGGAAAATTGAGATGTTCCCCCTTAAACTACCAGTCCTTAATAGGCATTGTAATGGGGGGTACTACAATCCCTATCAAGGGCTGCTAGTATAAGGGGGAACATCCTATCCATAAGCAAATCAACTCCAGGGGCTGCGCGGCTCAGGGCCCGGCGGCTTCTTCTCCTCAGCTCTCAGATTTCTCCCCCCCCCCCCCACAACAGCCCACAATGGCACGAGAGCTTCTTTAGTGGTGTTTAGGGTTTACGGTTTGGCGACCTACAACGACTACAGCTACGACTGCAAAACCAAGAAGCCCCCCGGGTGCGCCCAGGGGTTTCAAGTTTAGGATTTGGACGCTTTCGGGCTTTTTTTCGCTCCCGCATAGCCGGCCGAACCGCAGGCAGGGTTAGGGTTTAGGGTTTAGGGTTTAGGGTTTAGGGTTTAGGGTTTAGGGTTTAGGGTTTAGGGTTTAGGGTTTAGGGTTTAGGGTTTAGGGTTTCTAGGGTTAGGGTTTAGGTTAGGGTTTAGGGTTTAGGGTTTAGGGTTTAGGGTTTAGGGTTTAGGGTTTAGGGTTTAGGGTTTAGGGTTTAGGGTTTAGGGTTTAGGGTTTTAGGGTTTAAGGGTTTAAGGGTTTAAGGGTTTAAGGGTTTAGGGTTTAGGGTTTAGGGTTTAGGGTTTAGGGTTTAGGGCTTGTCGATTTAACATGCGTAGTGTATGGAAAGAGAGACGGACGTCCGAAACCTTCAGCGCAAAAGAGTTCCGTCATGTACATGGAGCTCTACTTTCTCCCACCCCAGGATGCCACCCAAAGCATCTGTAGGACGCTTAAGTTCTCAAGCGTCGCTAATATTGATAATAGTGTCTGGTAAAGAGATTACAGAAAATGTGGAAACAAAAGACCATGCACTTAAACAGTAAATGGCTGTAATTATGTTCCATAATTACCATTTACTTCTAGGTAAGACTAGAAAGTCGGCTTGCTAAGGCCTTTGGGTGGCTGAGGGGGGCTTACCCCCTCCTGTGGGGTAGTCCACACAGAAAAACGCCTTGTTTTGGAGTAATTTTTGGCTCCAAGCACGATTTAGAAAGGCCAGACAAAGAAAAACGCACTTAAAGAGACCACACACAAAGAAACGCACTGTTTTGGAGTAATTTTTGGCCCCAAGCACGATTTAGCAAGGCCAGACAAAGAAAAACGTGCTGTTCCCGAGTAATTTTTGGCTCCAGGCATTTGGCTGGCCACGAGCACTCGAGGGTCCATTTTTTGATCCGGGTTTGACTGGGGCTTAGGATGGCTTCAGAGAAGCCATTTAGCAAGGCCAGACAAGGAAAAACGCGCTGTTCCCGAGTAATTTTTGGCTCCAGGCATTTGGCTGGCCACGAGCACTCGAGGGTACATTTTTTGATCCGGGTTTGACTGGGCTTCATTTTTGGCTTCAACCACGATTTAGCAAGGCCAGACAAAGAAAAACGCGCTGTTCCCGAGTATTTTTTGGCTCCAATGCCTTTGGCTGGCCACGAGCACTCGAGGGTCCATTTTTTGATCCGGGTTTGACTGGGGCTTAGGGTGGCTTACCCTCTCCTGGGCTACCCCCACAACAAGGCCAGAATTTTAGAAAATGAGGGGGTAATTTCCGCTATATAAAATCTATTTAAAATTAATTGGGAATCGAGCCATTTTTCCCGAATCCTGGGGTACCCCCACGGAGCCTCCCTGGGACCTTCAAAAAAGCTTTCAGCCTCCTTCAGACCTTCGAAAGAGCTTCAGAGAGGCCACGCAAAGAGAAACGCACTGTTTTGGAGTAGTTTTTGGCTTCATTTTTGGCTTCGACCACGATTTAGCAAGGCCAGACAAAGAAAAACGCGCTGTTCCCGAGTAATTTTTGGCTCCAATGCCTTTGGCTGGCCACGAGCACTCGAGGGTCCATTTTTTGATCCGGGTTTGACTGGGGCTTAGGGTGGCTTACCCTCTCCTGGGCTACCCCCACAAGAAGGCCAGAATTTTAGAAAATGAGGGGGTAATTTCCGCTATATAAAATCTATTTAAGAATCGAGCCATTTTTCCCGAATCCTGGGGTACCCCCCACGGAGCCTCCCTGGGACCTTCAAAAAAGCTTTCAGCCTCCTTCAGACCTTCGAAAGAGCTTCAGAGAGGCCACGCAAAGAGAAACGCACTGTTTTGGAGTAATTTTTGGCTCCACTTTTGGCTTCAACCACGATTTAGCAAGGCCAGACAAAGAAAAACGCGCTGTTCCCGAGTAATTTTTGGCTCCAGGCATTTGGCTGGCCACGAGCACGCTAGGGTCCAAAAAAGGTTTGATGTCAGGGTTTTAGGGCGTTAAATAACTCTTGTATTAATACTGACAGTACTGTCTATAGAAATATTAACGAATATTTGTATACAGACATGCACTTACCTGTAAATGGCTGTAATTATATTCTATAATTACCATTTACCTCTAGGTAAGACTAGAAGGTCATTTGTTTACATTCCCGTCAAGGTGTGTTACGCTCCTGTACGTGAGAAGGCTTAAGCTGAGCACTCAGGCTTAAGCTTAGGGTTTAGGGTTTAGGGTTTAGGGTTTAGGGTTTTGGGTTTAGGGTTTAGGGTTTAGGGTTTAGGGTTTAGGGTTTAGGGTTTAGGGTTTAGGGTTTAGGGTTTAGGGTTTAGGGTTTAGGGTTTAGGGTTTAGGGTTTAGGGTTTAGGGTTTAATCGCTCACACTCGGACAAGCCAGGCGAGGCACACAGGTTCAACAGTCTCAACATCGGCTCTGCAGCACATGTGGCCACAGTCATGCTGGTGATACTACTCAACACTCACTGTTTGCTAACTGGTGAAAGGCTCATTGGCTAGTGAAACCTACCCAGGACACGTCAGTACCTCTCCTCAACACCATATTTCGCCATCTTCTGAGCTGGTGGGCGTTCAAGCCGCACGGGGCAGGAGAGAAATGGTTGACCCCCGAGCCCTATACAAAGTTCAGGTAGCGTGCTAATCTCCTATTACTCTGCCATTTCTCCCCCCATGGGATTCATCCTCTTTGCCCCTGCACCATCTGTGCTACGCCTTTTCACTGACTCTTCCCTTTGCCCAGGCATCTGCCCAGTGCTGTCTCCGGTCATTCACGTGCCCTTCCACTGTCATCATCTCGTCATTGTCTGGCGCGCCTTGGAGCCTAGGCCTCAGCCTATTGCCAGCGAAGTCACGTGGTTCTTTGGCGGAGGCTCGCCATCCTTGAATTCTGCTTGAATTCCTGAATGTTGACTCGAATTCCTGAATTCCAGCAACCATCCTCCTCCCCAGGCGCTCTACTCCACTCCTAGGGTTTAGGGTTTAGGGTTTAGGGTTTAGGGTTTAGGGTTTAGAGGGCTTAGGGCAAATGGCTCATCAAGCATGTTTCGATTCTCACGCTGGCACAAAGCTTTTGGGATTTGGGGCTTAGGGTTTCGTTTCCCACCTGCGCTAGATTCGTCCTTGCGGGGCCTAAGGTTGAGGGTACCTTGGGACTCACGGGAGCGAATGCATGTGGATGTTCTTTGCATACATAAACAAACGATCCTCCCCTCCCCCTCCTCCAATCACCTATATGGGAGTCTATCTACCATGTTCGGAACGGAACATACTGCCTGCCAAACCCCAAGGAGGCCCACAATTGTGGATTCAGGTGCTTGGGAACCCCTTTAACCATCATCATTCTTGAGGTCCAATCGCCCAACAAGAAACCATCTCCAGCAACAGGTAGGCAGTAGAGTGTCCTGACACTCCGTACTTTTGCGCCGCCCTATGCAGTGAAAATCTGGAAAAAGTGAGCAGCAGAGATTCCAGACACTGATCCTCAAGAACAAAGCCTCTTGGACCTCCTGAAGATTTTGCTCGGGTCTATTTCAAGAGCTTTCCTCCATCACCTGCTGCTCAATATCAGCCCGGCTGTTCTACAGCCGCCTGCCAGAAGCCGAGGCAACTTCAAACGGCTACATCTCGGCTGTCTCTTTTTCCTAAGCACGAACCTACACCTCCACGGATGTGGTTTTGTTCCACATCTTGTTGTCTATCCGCTTCATCATGGCCTTTAGCTGCTTCTGAGGGCCGCATTCGTAGAACTCCGTTATGCCGTCCTCCACAGTTCGGCGAGCGGTAACCCTGCCCCTCATGAATGGCGCTAAGCACCTACCAGTTGGAAAAGAAAGCACCACGACTTTGCAGCTCTTACTCGTACAATCCCCTTCTCGGGGCAAACCTAGACCCTTTTGTTGAGCAGAGCCTGCGGCGCTCAAACCTGATACATCCGCTGCCGCAGGTCCGCGACAACTGATCTTGGCTTGACACAGGACCACTCTCCGTTTTGCAACCACAAACCCTGTACCCCATACCCCAACCACCCCAGACCTTGATCATCTTCTCGATGGATGTTGTCCACAAGACCGGGCTCGTCAGCTGCTTCTGGAGGAGCTCGAGGATGACCTGCGGCACCCCCACATTGAACATGCACGGTTTAGGGTACATCGCCATAGAACGGTTTTGGGACCAGTCCACCGCATACCTAGCAAGATCATCTGCAAGTCTCCAGACGGCTCCTTTTAACCGGCTGTTGCCCACGGAATGTTTCGCTCTCTCGCTCTCGCTCTTGCTTGCTTGCTTGCAGCGCTGATGATCCCCCCCCTGCGGGGAAGGACCGCCCCAAGGGGCCAGCAGGACAGAGTCTGTCGGTGTGAAAAGATAAGAGAGGTGGCGGGTGCAGAAACGAAGGACTCTCTCTCTCTCTCTCTCTGTGCCGCTGCTTCCCGATGGTCCCACTGTTTGATTCTAAGGGATATAAACAACAGGCAAAAAGCCCCCAAAACGCCCATGATGACGACCAACCATGTTTTTGAGTGGCCTTGGGATCGGTTCCTGCAGGTAGCACCTGGCCGGTGACGTTCCTGAGTGTTAGGATTTCGCGGGCACTGCAACCTTGAACCTTAAACCCGACCTTCAAAAAGTGAAGACCAGCCCACAAAAACCCTGAATGACCCATCTCGGAAGTGAAGCCAGAGAAAAGCTCGCGGCTTCCGGTGCTTCCTCGCATCGTGAGTTCAACAACCCACCCTCTGCTCGCCAAGGCGCATGTAGACATCACAGGTTGGGGGGCTCATCTTGGGCAGCGCCTCTTGGAGAGCCTTCTCCAGCTTCTCCTGGCGCTTTTGGGGGTTGGGGGTGTTGGGAGTTCTTAACTTTCTCCACTGAGGCCCGAATCACGAGCTTAGGATTCTGAAGCCCAAGCGCCCTGAAGCGACTGAAAGCTCAGCCCTCAGCCCACAAAAGATTCTCCTAAAAATGATGTGACGTGGGAGTTTAGGATACCCTTGTAGTCAGAACCCCAATAAGGTACCCCAAATTTCGTAAACCTCCACGTAGGCTCACAAGAGGAAAGTCCCCAGACTCGGGCATGCTCCTGCGCCGGTTGCATCAGGGAGGTGTGAAAAGCACCGCCGGTTTTCAACAGCTTCGCCTTGCAGGCTCTCCAGGAGTTGACTTAGGGTTCTTGGGGTTCTTGGGGTTCTTGGGGTTCTTGGGGTTCTTGGGGTTCTTGGGGCTCTTAGGGGCTCTTAGGGCTCTTCGAGCCGTGTACTCATGGCAAGATCTTCGGAATCCAGAAGCCAAGCCAAAGTTTCAAAGCTTCAAAGCGGACTAGCCCCCCTTTTGCAGCATCCTCACCACTGCCACCCCCAAGCCTAAGCCCCACGTTTAGGAAGCAGGGTCGAGGCGTCCGGTTTGGGGGGATTTGGGGGGAGTATGGTGGCTAGGGTGACCCACCCTACCCCCCAAAACCACTGGGGTTTGCCTGGGTCATGGGTCTCTCCTACAGATTGGCCTGGAGGGCCCCCTTCTTCTCCGCGATGGTCTTCAACTCATTGACTGCCTTGAAGGGGCCCCCCTGAAAACCTTCCATCCTGAACCGTATTGTTTGGGTTGGTAGCGTTTGCGGCTGATAAGGTTTTAGGGTTGATAGGGGTTAGGTTAGGGCTGACAAGGGTTCGAGGTTTGGCGATGCTTGGTGTTTTAGGGCTTATAGGATTTCAAGGGGAGCCTTCTCCGTGCCGGCGCAAGAGAAGCCCTTGGGGAAGAGCGCGTTGGCAATGCGGCACACGGCGCCCTGCCCTTCCTTCTTCTCGGCCTCCGCGCAGCACTGCTCGAGGGCCTTCTGGTCCAAGCCAGCCACTGAAATCCTCAGCTGCTGTCCCCAACCTTCAAGCTCACACCCCTCAACAACACCTTCCTATAGCCCCCCCCCCGCCCTCCTCCCCCCCCCACATCCGTAAAGCCCAAGATTTGAAAACCAACAAAACATGAGCCTCGGCACATGGCCTGCTTGCCAACCTGCGCGGCCTCCTGCATGGCCTCACCCCGTAGCTTCACCAGCGTGAGGCCGTCCTTCCCCCATGACTCCCAATGACTGGAGGGATGCAGAGCTGTCATGTGTTTGCAGAGGTTCTAGGTTGATGCTGGGCTTGGCATCTTGTTTATCCGTCTTGCAGGCTCTAGGACGTCGTTCTGCATTCACTCTACAGCCCGAGGCCCAAACAAGCTTAAACCGTTAAAGCCTTAGCGACCCTCCATAACCCCAAACCCTGCACACCTCTTTTGCATCCAGGCCTCTTCGAACACTGCCGGGCAAGAACACCTAAACCTCTTGTCCCAAAACCCTAAAACGTCGGTCGCTCAAGGTGCCCCCACTGCCCAAAGCCCCAAACGCCTCGAAGCTGAGGACGCCAGCAGCACACAGCGCCGTGTACTCGCCCAGGGACCTTACGTTCAGGCTCCGGGTTCTCTTAGGGATCCATAGGGTTGATGGCGGGCTGTTTCAAGGAGGGGAGCTTCCAGGCATGGTACCCTTTACACCGCTGCTTTTCGTGGCTCTCCGTTTACAAGTTCAGGCTTCTGGGCTCCAGGGTTGAAGGTTTTCAGGATTTGCTGCCCAGCGTGCTCGAAGTTCAGTTGTCGGTAGTGATTTGGTCGTGTGCTACATAGAAAGAGAGAGGCAAAAAAGAGTACTCATGCATATCATAAACATATACATACGTCTACATGTACACACCTAGATATACATGGACATATACATCTACATACGCATGTGCATCAACGCGACTGTATATTACGCATATGCTTGTTTGTATGCAAGTACGTATGCATGTACATATGTAGATACACAAAACATGTACATATTCATAAAAGGATACATATGTGTACCCAATTAGTGCAACACCCATCCGCCCAAGAGGCAGGCCGGCCATACACCGAGGCCGCGTAGCGGCCTCAGCATTCTGCGCCTGCAGCTTGCAGACTCCGGCAAGGCCGCCGACGAACCTGGGCTTGGGCGGTTGCAATGTCAGGTAAGCTTGACATGCAAATGAAAGTGTACTGCACTGTGCTAAAAGAAGCAATGTAGTAGATCAGGGGTGAGATGATCCAATGGAATATTTTCGTTTTACTCATGCAGTTCATACAATAACAATTGTAAGTACAGAGGAAATGATAACAACAATTGTGGCAGTAGCAGTAGCAATGGCTGTGCTAGCAGAGTAGTAACAACACGGAAAACAACCATGAGACCATGAGACCATGAGAACAATAACTGCGAAGAGAACTCAACCATCCCCCGAAGAAACATAGCCTGCCGCAGCATGTTCAGGTGAAATGAAACAATGTGGTTTGGACCCACGCCATGCCTGATAGAGCCTGGCAAGCAGATCCAATAGCAAGCGTACGTTGTCTTATCTTTCGCTCCCCCCTTGTTCTTTCGGAGGAACATCGCAGGCTGGCAGTACCTGGTCTCGGCAAGCTTTTCCTCGGGACCCTCCATGCACATATTCAAGAGGTCATAACCCAGAATCTTGGAGGCTTTGGCGAGCATGTCCTTTACCTCCGGGACACCGTCTCGGACATGGAAGCTGTGGTTCATCCTAAACGGGTCCCGTTGCGGGACGGTGTTTGAGGGGCTGGGTTGGAGCAGCAGGGGGTTTTGAACGCACGTGGCCTCCTGCATGTCCTTCACACCATCCAACATCTTCACGTACTGAGAACCCTGGCCCGGGAAGAGCAGCGCCACCGGCAGCGTGGGCTTACCCGGCTCGGCCTTCGCCTTCGCCTTGGGCTCTGCTTTCGCCTCCGCCTTCGGCTCTGCCTCGGCTCTCTCCGGGACCCTGAATGCTGAAATCGCAACCCTCAAAAGACTTGTTTGTCAAGCCAGCCTTCAGCCCCAACCCTGAAAAGAGTTCGATAAGCACCACGCACTAGGCTTAGAAAACCCACCCCGAGATCTGCCTTGGGGGCAGCCGCGGGAGCCACCTTCTTCGCAGGTTTCGGCTCGGCATACAGCTTCTGGTTGTTCGCGATGCCATCCTCCTCTGCGGGGAGAGATGGGTGGGTAGTGCTTCTTCCAAGGGTTTGTGCAGCCTTTGGGGGTTTGCAGGGGTACTCCTCGCAGGTCAGGGACCCGACACCCATGCACATCTGCGCAGCGGTCCTGGTACCAGCCCTTGGCAGTCTGCCCCTCCGCTTTCTCAAGCAGGGTGATGACCTCTCCAGGGGCGACTCTTGGCTGCAGAATCACATGGCAATCTACACATAAGCTCTTGGCTGGGCGCCACAGCTGCACCACTTGTTTTGATGCTCACTCGCAAACATGCAAGGCATGATGACGAAGGAGCTGCGCGCGTGGGGCGGCCATGCAAGACAACCTAGTGCCGAAGCCTAGTTGGGCACTCAAGGATTAAAACTCCCAGATCAACACATCAACGCCACCCAAAATCCTCAGGGCTCTGTGGTGCTAGCTTGTGGCCCAAACGTAGGCTTAGTGGGTCGGAGGCATGTGCCCCGGAGCCTCCTTGTGCTTGAACTTGGTCGCCTTGTCCTTGGCGGTCTCCGCTGTTTTGGGGTCCTTGCCTGAGATCAGGTATTGCAGCGTCAGACGCAAGTAAAAACCCCCCAGAAAAAAACCTAAACCGGAAGTGCTCTCTAAATCCCTCATCTTTACATCCTGTCCCCTGCCCCCTCCCCCCCCCCCAAAAAAAAAAATGAAATGAAACGTAACCTGAACTGAAAGCCGCCTTCAGGCGCTACGCAGCGCACGTGTGGGTCGGCCTGGGCCTCGAGGAGCAACCTCAACTCCAGCTTCTTGTGGGGCTGCCCTAAACCCTACCCTAAACCCTTTTTTGAACCCAGGCTCTTCACTATCAGCTGGGCAACACCTTAAACCAAAGTTGGGAGAGTTGAGGAGTTGAGGAGTTGCTTGAGTTGAGGGGTTTATATGGATTGGGGTGTCCGGGGCTTATGCGGCTCCGACTGGAGGCCTTTTGTGGGTCCTTTTTTGAAACTGTTTATACCCATGTCTGAAACAACCCCCTATTTGAGACGACCCCTCCACGGTTTTAAGTTTAAGGGTTTGCTTGCACAAGGGGGTCTTTGGGAACTTGCCGCGTGGTTCTGCTTCGTCCTTGCCTTGCTCGGCTCCAGAGCAGGTCGTATGCTCTAGTTCATGGCCGAGCCTCAAAAGTAAGTTGGGCAGTCGAAGTCAGCTACATGCAACACAATGCGTCGGGGGAGCTTCACGCATTTTGCATGGCCGGCCATGGAGGCCATGTGAAGCGCGTTGACATCCGTGTAGTGAGTGTTTACGTCACCATTGAAGATGTGGTCCTCATCCCCCTTGGCACAGCGCTGGCTTATCGCAAGGGAAGGGGTGCGCTAGAGGGAATCTTTCGACTTGGGAAGCATGAAGGGGTGAAGTTTGCGACCCAGGCCTTGCGCAGGAGTACTTCCAGCTGCTCAATGTCTCCTTGGTATGCAGCCATGCACAAAGTTTCCAAGTTGACGCCATTGTACTTCTTGTACCGCGCAGGGTTGGCAATCGGGTTCACGAAGCCCGTCGTGGCGGCCATGGCGCAGCCGGAGACGGGGGAGAAGCTTCAAAGCTATGCAAATAGCAACTACCCAAAATACGCGTGCATAACTATGAATTGAAGCTTGTTTCCGTTGTTTCATCTGCACAGGTCACACCCAGGTCACACCCAAGAAAAGCTGAAACAGCAACATTCATGAAGGCGATGCTGAGTGTTGTTTCCATGGACGCGCCTTCCTTCTGCAACTGAAAGCATCGGGCCGAGGTGTCACCGGATTCACACAGATCCCGGTCTTCTGGTGTTTTTGTGCGCCTTGGCTTCCTCGTCAACTCGGCGTGCAACTTCACACGAAGCCTGAAGACACAAACCCCGTCAACCCCAGACCACCTGTGCATGACCTGCATGGGGCTCCCTGCCGGTTCCGGCGGCTTCGGCAGGGACGCAAGGGTCTGCGAGATCCAATCCTGTACCTGCGAAGGTGGGTCTTTGCACAGCCGCAAGCATCATACAGCCCCTCTTGAACCCCCTTGAAGCACTGGAACCCTCTTAAACCCATGACCCCTTCAGCCCCCTTACGCTCGACACCTCCCCTCCCCCCACCCCGAGATGGGCTTAGCCTCCGGAGGACTGGTCCTGGAGACTTCCCAGTCGGAGCGGTTGCCTCAAGCAGCCCGGCTTGAGATACAAGGACCTCTATGAAGATGAAACATGAAGGTAACCCCAAAAAAGGGACCCTACATTTGGTGAACTGCACAAAAAACAACCGGCTTCGTGGTTCAAGCTTTCGAGCGTCAGGCGACCTCAGTGCCCTGGCATGGTTAGCTTCTGGCTACCTAGCTGTGGTCCTTGGAAGCATCCCCTGACTGCCTTATAGCAGGAAGTCCCCAATGCAAAGGCCTTGGTCCCTCCCGGACTCGGAATCTCCGGAATGCTGAGGTGGCGGCTGTAGCCCTCCGTCACTCCCAACATCCGCTTGAGGTCGTTGATGCGCGCCACCATCGGCGGGAGCTCTGGATCCTCTGGAATTCCAAAAAAACAAAGCTCGCAGGATTTAGGGTTTGCAGTAGGGCCTCGGCTCTGACGCTCACGCCCAGGCAAGGCTTAGGATTTGGGGGTTTTTCAGCGGCCCTCTCACGAGAGCCTCCAGCAGCGCATCCGCGGTAGGATTTCGAAACTAGCCGACGACTGTCGTCAGCAACTATCAAAAACCCTCGGCGTCCTCTTCGAAGCTCCCAGGACCTAAAGGTGAGGCGCCAGTTGAAGGGGGCGCTGGGGTAGCACGGTATGCGTATTGCAGCTTATTCTCTTTTGGCGCAGAATCAGGGCTTGGGGCTCACTGTAGTCTTCAGGTGCACTTCAGGGGGTGTAAGGCTGCATGGGTTGAGACAGCGTGCCACAAAACATTGCCACCTGACAATCTGCAAGGATGCGACATAGACTCCAATGCCGCAGGCCATTTTCCAAACACTTGAGAACCCACAAGAGGCCAGCAGGTCTGCTAAACCAAGAAACCCCCTTCCCTCTCTGAGATGCTGGGACAAGTGCAGGTGTAGCGCGTCCTTGCTGCGGGGTCATACCTGCTCCAAAGTGAGGAAGCGACGAGTGCAGGTTCCCGATGAGCAAGAGCTCCCAAGGAGTTTCAATGCCCTGTACCCGGAGGGCATCTTTCGTGCAGAATGGAAGCAGAGCCCTTTACTATCGTCAGAGCCACATTCCCGAGGCAACAAAGCAAGCATCAAGATCCTGGCAATGGGCAAGCCCCACGAACTCCAACTGATCTGCAAAGCTCTCTAAGGCATTGACAAAGCTTCCGAGATCAAACCTGCTGCAGCAGGCCCAGAGGAAAGCTTCATCGAGGAGACTGCCAGGTAAGCAAGAGGCCCTTGCATCAACTCAACCGGGCAAGTGAACGGTATGGAAGTGCCACAACTCCTGAAGCCCTGACACCGCAACCTGAAAGGACGCCCGCTTCAGATCTCCATGTGCCTGTGGAGCCATTCCCGTCTGCTGTCGGCCTGGTTGGGGTGCCAAGGCCCACACATGATGCAGGTTCGAGTTGGTTTAAGCTTTTTGGGGTTTTGGGGTTTCGGGTCTTTGGGTCTGAAGGACTTCGAAACCGTTCACGCCTTCATAAACCTGGAAGCTGCTTCATGCCAGGACAGAGGCCCATGCTCAAACACCATAGACCGACGGACACGCAAAAATCCCTTATTGCCCCAGAATCTCGATCCCAAGGCCCAGGAAGCCCCAGTTCATCCAAGCCCTAAAACATCCCTAAACATGCCGGATTTTCTGGGTTTTGGCTTTCGGGCTTAGGGCCCAGAGCCCGTCCTAAGAATCCCCCACCCCCTTTGGGGCGCCCGGCAGCTTGGCCAGCGAGCGCTGCGCCTGAAGCTTGAAGGCCTGACGCCGCTCACGCTCCTGCGCGTGCTGCTCACTTGTTGCCTTATTGCTGCCACCCGTCTACCTTTGAGGGCTGAAGGTTGGTTGAGGGTTGAGGGTTGAGGGTTGAGGCTTGAGGCTTGAGGGTCGAGGGTCGAGGGTCGAGGGTCGAGGGTCGAGGGTCGAGGGTCGAGGGTCGAGGGTCGAGGGTCGAGGGTCGAGGGTCGAGGCTTGCGGGCTGAGGGCGTAGGGCCCCGGGTTGAGAGTTGAGGGTCGAGGGTCCCGCCAACCCTACCCCACGCTTGACAACACATGAAATGTTTATCAGGAAATCCACGAAATCCTTCACGACATCCATCCATGCATCAACGATAGCGAAGAACCTTCCCGAAGATCACCTCCGCTGAAAAACCCTCGCCACGCTTTGGGGGATAACCGTGGGGTGTGAGAAGTTTGGGGCCGTTTGGGAGCCTTTTGTGCAAAACTTGTTGGGCCTTTCAAAACAACGCTCATAATCGCAGCACCGAACAAGACAAAAGCTGAGTGATTATGGCGCTTATGATTGGGCGTATTCTTTCTGTAACTGCCAGTCCTCTCCACATCAACATATGGGGGATTCGCCAAATTCGGGTCCCTTTTAGGGTTACTGCTCTAAGGTGGCCTCTCATATGTAGGGCACCCCAAACAGGGACCGTAATTGTGAGACATGGCCAAATGGCTTTACAGGAGGAGCTTGCCCCAGCGCTCACCTAAGAAGGTGGCCAAACCGAGAGTTTTCTGCGCTAAAGATGAAGAGGCGATTACCTTCCTGAAGCTGCAGGTGTCCTGGAACTTAGGGAAGATTCCGATTGCTTGATGTATATTCCCAGGCATCCTACTAGAACTTAGTGAAGATTCCCATCAGCTCATTTCAGGGGTGGAAGATTCCTATTTGCTGAATTCGTGGTTTGGAGCCGCTCGATACTTAGGTGCAGGGCATGCTCCATAAAGGTGCAGCCCCTACTGAGGCCCTACTGCAATCTTTGTCAACCCCTACCGCCACCTTCGGGTTCAAGGTTTCGGGGTCCTGCTTCTTTGAGCTCCATTGGTACCTGGCCCCCGCTGGAAGACTTTTTGCTCGGAGGAAATACAGCTAGCAAGGCCCAGGGCTTTAGGCTTTAAAGATGTCGCAGCAGGCGTCCGAAGCCGCCTATGCTGGAACTTGCAGAGCTGACGCGCAGCATTCCGTGACTCGCGCAGCATGTGCCACGTGCTGTGCGTGCAATGATCGTTTGACTCCTGCAAGAGCCAGCAATCCAAATCTACAACCAGATCCAACAAAAACAAGCGAATTCATGCACAAACGAAGGTCTCTATTTTCAGGCCTCAACTTCAGGCCACTCCGAAGGCGTCATGACATATCCAGCACGGAGGGGCACTGCGTCGTGAAGCGCATGATGTCTTTGGCGCCCCTGTTGGCCACTCAGCTATGAGGTTGCTGGCTTCGCACTGCGGCTTTATCGAAGTTTGGGGCTTTGGGTTTCATATGAGTGCAGCGGCTGATTGATTGGTGCGGAATGCGAGACCCGAGACTACCCATGCCTCAACCCGAACCCCCGTCATCTTCAAACCTGCTTTGAAGCGCCCCTGTTGCAGTATTCATTGGCGAGCTCCTCTTTGCGGGGGAGAGTGGGGTGGGAGGATAGCATTCGGGGAGGTGGACCCTTTCCCCGCACAGCCCCCCAACCCCAACACCGTCTTGCATCAGGGCTTAGGAGCCAGATGTTGTTGACTTGAAGCACAACACCACCCTCAGCATACTGATGGCAACACCTAGACCTCCAAACCCCGCCCGAAACATCCCCAAACACCGCGCGTAACATCCCCAAACACCCCCGAAACACCCCCAAAACATCCCCCAAACACCCCCAAAGCCCTGAGGCTTGGCCTCGGCTTCGTCCGCACCCTTAGTGGGCTTCGGGTCGGGTTGAGCCCCAAGCAGCGATTCTCCTTCAAGCCTAGCTTTTGTTTCTCTTTACAAAAATGCCCCCCCCCCCTCCCCCCTACCTTTCGCCCATGAACTGCCACGGTTTTCTTTGTCAGGCTACCCAGAGGTTGCTGTAAGGCTGTAAGGTTGAGGGGCTGCGGTGGCTCTCATCATTGGGCGCTGGCGGGCTCAGCAACCCTTATAGCCAGTCCTTGGAGTTTCTTGGGGTAGATGTGGATTGCTTGGTGTGGCCGCCAACCAAAACTGATCCCAACCCTGAAAAATACCGTTTTAGCTAAACCCGAAACATGCCTAAACAACGGCATACCTGCAACTTAACCCGAAACTCGGAGAGGCCATGCTGACCCGCCTAGTCGGAGAGGAGGACATGGACCTGGCGAGTGGGTGGAAGATTCGGAATTGCATCACAACTCACAAGGCTCGCCCGCAAACAGATCCAAACTTTCTGCCACAATGGCTCAAAATGACCTGAGCTACTTCCCGGATCCGTCCCAGGAAGCATGCGATTATGGTAGCCCCAGGTTGAAAGTTCATCTTGATCCTCATCCAAGACCCGAATGCTGACCAAGGAAGCTTTGCAGAGGGTCTGGCCACAATTCAACAGACAGGCACCGTTCTCGAGCTTGGGAATTTCTGTAGCCGGCTGCCATGTGGAGATCCCTGTCTCAACACCCCATGTGCGCTGCATGATCCTTACCTATGCAAAACTGCATAGCAACCAAGGATTCTTCGAAAGTTGAGGGCCTTGTAGACCATTAACCCTAAACTACCCAAACTCTAAACCCTAAACCCTGAACCCTAAACCCTGAACCCTAAGCTCTGCCCACACACCTGCCATCGGCTTTAAAGTTGCCGGCGGATGTCTGGCTCAAAGCCTGAGCAGGAGGACTAAGCCGCGGTGGAGCTTCTTATCTAAGTTCTGGGCTTGTTGTGGCCCCCCCCCCCTATTTTTTTATTTCATTTTTTTTTTTTTGGGGAGGGGGGGAATGTTGGCTAGTGACATACGTCGTGGTGCTTGGGTAGACCCACCCAAGCCCCCTCACCAAATGGACGCTCCACGTGCGAGATCGGGAACCCCTGAACCTTACTGAACCCAAAAATCGAACCTGCTGAGGTTCAAGGTTTAGGCAGAAGGTACTCCAGAGACCAGCCCGGGAATGCTCAGCACGCGGGCATTGGCCGGAGCCGGCAGAGGACCTTTGCAAAACCGGATTGGGCTGGCATTCCAGGGTGAGGCTCAAAACTGCCGATCTTAGGCAAACAACCACAAATTTCTTGAGAGCTGCACACCTGCGGAAAAGCCCAGCCCGCCAGCCCCAAAAGCCAGAACCGAAAGTGGCCGGGTGCGGGGCCCAGCGTCTGTGCGCTCATGGGTTCGCCCCTTAGGGGCACCACCTATGCACCAGGTCGCATGGATGAACTGATAAGCATATGGGCACGGCTGCCGCTAGCACCGCTTCAGGCGTTTGCTAGTGCGATCGTTGTTTGTTGTTGCGCAATACAGATGCAAATGGCTCGACCCTGCACCCGGTGTGCACGTCTGCAGCTAGCCTACAGAACCCTCGCGCCCACCTCGGGCACAGCGCACGTCGGCTGCCAGCAGGGGCCCGAAGGAGACGGGGTTAGGGCCAGGGGGCTTGGGGGCTTTGGGTGGGGGGGCGCCTTGGGGTAGGGCTCTCCATCCATGGAAACCGCAGCAGGTTGCAGAAGCCTTCGAGGCTCTTGGGGGTGAGGCTTCTCTGTGTCGCTGTTGCCTGGCTCTCTTCCGCAATCCCCAGCATCAAGCTCTTCCCAAGCTTGGACCCATCATGGCTTGAAGCCGAAACTGAAACCCCATGTTCGGCGAGGCGTGCCGCACAACGAACGTGTATGTACATGTAGTTGTACAGCACACAGCACACGGCAGTCGCTCAAGTTCAGCACGCCTCGAGAATGCGATGGTCTGCGACGTGCTTTGACCACGATTGAGTGCACACTTTCTGCCTTTTTTTGAACCCCTAGAACCCCTCGTGTCCTACACAGGAATGTCCAAATGTACTCACGGGCCTGGCGGCTGCAGCATGCTCCCGCTCTGATTTTATCGGCGAGTGTTGACAGCATTCGCCGCATGTTTCTCACGCTGAAACGGCCCCACAGCTTTGCAGCATTGCCATAACGTCCAGTCGAATCCTTCTGGAAGCCACGGGGTCGTTTCAGGACATGCAGGTCAGCATCAGCTCCAGAGATCTTCGCCCCAGACCTCAGCAGGATTTTGGCCCATGCAGAATACGCACCTCAACTCCGTGAGCCTTCCATGTGTCTGGGGTGATGCCAGCTAGGGGAGGAAAGAGTTGCCATGACAAGGTGGTTTGTTCGCAAGAAACCGCGGCACACTCGACGTAACTGCACTCTCTGCACCGAGATCTGCACATCCAGTTTGGCAGGCTTGCTCCTTGCACCAACGGCGGCCCAACCCCTTTACTCTTTGGGAAGCCGGATTTCAGTTCAGGGATTCTGGAACTCAAGTTCCGGCAATTTAGGGTCTTTGCTCAGGGAAGTGGCAGGACAAGGATGTAGTATGGACACATTGAAACAAGAGCTGTGGGACTATCAAGGGTAGCTTAGGGTTTAGGGTTCGGGGTTCAGTACACCCTAAACCCGAAGCCCCTAAGCCCCTAAACCCGAAGCCCCTAAGCCCCTAAACCCTAAACCCTAAACCCTAAACCCTAAACCCTAAACCCTAAACCCTAAAAAACCGTCAACCTCGAAGCCCCGCGCCTCTCCGGCTCTAAGCGCACAGGGGCCGGCGAGGCAATGGCCCTTGGTGAAGGTCGATTTGGGAAGTTCCAACAGAATTTCGGAGGGTCTCAGTCTCCGACATTAAGGGTACCTTGTTGGGGTCGTTCTGACAAGGGAATCCTACTATTTGGGGGGGTCATGCTAGGGGTCCCTTATTCTCGTAAACTCCCACTTTAAGGGTCAGGGTTTAGAGTTTGGGTGGGCTTGAGGGCTTGAGGTCTAAGGGGCACTTTTTTTGGGGCTTCTATGAAATAATTTGATATTAGGGGGTTGATCTTGGGACATTCCCATTTGGGTTTGGTTGCTTTGTGCTTGAGCAGTAGCGGAAAGATGCTTCAACTGCCCAACAGCACGACTTTTGGCCAATGATATGTTCATCGTTGCCACGTTCAAAAGCACCAGGGGTTCAGAGGACCGGATCGTGCGCAAGCAATCCAATAGCTTTTCCATGATCAATGAGCAACTCCTCTTGTCACAACAACTCCAAAATCTAAGCCAAGCATCGGCCGACATTCGACTACAGGGGCCGGCTCCTCCTGGGCGGAAGCTGGCGAGCTCGACCTTGGCACACCGAGGGAGTCTTCCGGCAAGCTCCGGCTTGCTTCGGCAACCGGGCCTCGCAAGAACAAAACATGCCTCAGCAGGTGTCAAGCCTTAGGGGGTCGAGGACCATGGAGCCAAGACTCCCCCGTCAAGATGGCAGCTGAGAAAAACCGGTGCGTCAGGCCGCGCATCGAGGAGAAATCCGGGCTGCTCAGCTGCCAAACAACTTCTTGGGCTTGGTCGCGCCCCTAACCCTGAACTCGAACCCTGTAAGCCTTAGCGCATGGATTCTCGCATTCCGGAGAGACGAGCTGCAAAAAGCGGCCCTGACACCCAAAACCCTTTTTGAGCACGGACTGGGAAACTGCCGGCAAGCAGGGGGAGCATGCTCAACACCACTCCTTTGCAGCATGCTCAGCAAAACTGCAGGTCTCTGCTTAGAGCTCGAAGCTGTGTTGCACATAGCTGCAAGTAATTCATGTGATCGCACGCGTGTCCGTCAACCAAGACCCCTCAAGCGCCTCAAGCGTTCCTCCCGTCTTTGCAACTTGAAGGCCCTCCTTTGCTCTGCATGCAAAGTACTTAATCTCTCTAAGGGATCCATGAACTGAGCTTCGGGACAATCCTCACTCGCAACGGAGACACACCGCCGTTCCGAAGGTGTGTGCTTTGCTTCTATTGAGGGATGAGAATGCACCCGGGACAGGCCTGACTGAATCTGGTTGATAGAATCGGTAGTACCTTCCGTAGTGTAACCTTTGGTCGACTGAATTTGCCGGAGTTGCTCACATATCTCCTGGTAGAGGCGTCCGGTCCATGCACGATGACTGACAGAGGACGAGCTGGCGGAGTGAATTGTGTCCTTGAGCTGAGCCTCCTCAATAACTTCAGAATTCGAAGCGGCTTGCTGCAGGAAATGTTGGAGATAGCTACGTGGGCTGTCTGGTAGCTCCACTAAAGTCTGATTCGACTGGTCGCCTTCGTCTTCTTGCCGATCATCCGAGAAGGGACAAACTTCATCCACATCGATTTTATCACCATCGATCTTCACGTCAAAAGGTCCATCCGTTCCAGATTGAGCACAGCTCATTGAAGCCACAGGTTCCTCCAGGAAATGTTCTGCATGTAAAGCTGTTTCCAGCTTTCCTCACACCCCGACCCTTCCTCGCACTGCAGTGCCCCGCTGGCCCATAAAGCATGATGGAGACTGATGACCACTGGGTTTCCTGTATTGAAACTGCTGTCCATTGCCCTTCCGGGTCTTTCCACCGAAGGCTTTTGCAGCAAAGCGTACAATGCTGTCTGCAGAGAAGAGCACACCTCACAAGGGACGTCAAGCTTCCTCGCGGATCGCAGTGCAAAGCCGACTGCCGAAACAAGTTTCCATCTTGCTGCCGCCATAGCGAGAGTACCAAGGGTTTGATGAATTTGACGACTTGCAAATACCCATCAGGGTCTCGTAGCCAAACTTGAGCCAAAATGGCTTGAGCCAAAATGGCTTGAGCCGTAGCCACACCCAAAACCCTAAACCCTAAACCCCAAACCTTCCAGAGTTACCCTGGTCTGGGCCCTGGGCGGGCTCTGCTGTTTTGCAGCAGCCTGCCAAGGATGCCAAGGAGTTGCAACAGCCCTCAGAGTCCCCAGACATGGGAGCGCCAGCGAATGACGTGAAATACCTCATGCTTTGGGGGTTTAGGGTTCAAGGTTCAGGGTTTCGACTCTCACAACCAGGTTTGGGGTTTAGGGTTTGGTCACGGAACCGGGCCGAAGAACAGCTGAGACCCCGAAAAAAGTCGAGCTTGCACTCGGACACCCTGAACCTCCAAAAGCCCATTATCCCCCAGGCGACCTCTCCTTCGTGTGCATCGCCCCTTTTTTGACAGCAGGCATTTGTTGCACCGCCCGGCCTGAACCCTAAGCCCAGCATCCTCACACTACTTCAACCCCACAACTTCTCTCCGCCTGGAGCGCGGTGCGGTACTCTACCGCAGGGGCCGCGCCATAGCGCCTTTCCAGAGGTGCACCTGCGCAAGTTGGTTGGGTTTCCTGGCTGTCTTCGGCCTCAGGGCAGCGCCATGAATACTCTTTAGGGTTTCGACTCTCGCACTCTTTGCAGTTTAGGGTCTAGGGCTTAACACGGGTAGTGTTGAAACTCTTTGGCTCCCAGATTCGAATCGTCGAAGACATACTGTGATTTGTGGTGGCCAGCTACTTCGAATCTATGGCGCCACCGAGTCTCCTGCTGAGCCCCTTCCGGAAAGCAACGGAGGCAGAGCAACTTCTTTTGATCTTGACGTAAACGAAGCGATGTTCACCGCGTGGCTTAGGCTGTCAGGCAGCTACTTGAGAGACAAGTGAGGCTATGACGGTTGGTTATGCTGCATTCTGCTGTTCCTGCCACACTCACATAAAGCACTAGATGTTCGTGATCTCGGTCATCATCTGCACAAACTCGTCGAACTCCAGCGTGCCGCTGTTATCCTCACTGCATTGCATGAGTCTGCCCGTCTCTACTTCCAGGGGTGCTTCTCCAGTCACCACTACTCATCAATCTGCGCTTCAGTTGTGCCTGATCTGCCATCCTCAAACATGCCTCTCAATCCTATCACAAGTAGGCACTCTTACCACACTTGGTCGACATAGGCCCTAGAGACCCCCCAGGCTCCTGATCATACCGCCCTGCCACCGCCATGAGCCTCACAGCTGGGCTGGACCGGGCAGGGCTCAGGATAGAGAAGGGCCTTTTCGACTCATCACAGCAACCTCTTGGAACCAATGTTTAAACCTGAAAGCCCATCCCTGCAACCCTTCTGCTTTTCGACATTTCCACCTCCCTTCTACGACCCAAACCTCCTGGCCCCCTTGCAAACAAGGCAGAACCTGCACATTCAAAACCGTACACCGGAGGCCACATGAAACGTGCAGTTGCCAACGCGGCCACGCAGCTGCGGGAGCCTCAGCACAGGAGTTTGTGGGCCTGAAGGTGTAGGTCACGTAAGTACACGAGTCCCTCGCTAGGCCCTGTATGGAGTCTGGCACCGGAACAACCTCGGACCCGTTCCCCGGTCTCTTTCATTCAAGCCAGTGGCACTAAACTAAATTAGAGGGATGAGGAGCAATCTGACCTAAGCAGAACCGCTACCTTCCCTGTTTTCAACCTTGTACGTGATGAGACTGCGGTTCAAATCTCCATGTCGAAAAGCCGTTTTCAGCCCTAGTCTGCGGGCCGCGCCAAGCTCAGCAAACCCTAAACCCTGCACCGCAGATGAAGGTTTCCGAAAATAGGAGGTGCCCTTGTTAGGGGGGGTTCCTGGTATTTCGGGGTTTTAGGGGCACCCCTAAACTGGACGAATCTAACCGGACTGAGGCCCATGGCCTAATCGTTCTAGAGTGGCCCTGAAATTTACACAAACCCTCTAAGTCCAAACATCCTCTCGGCCCCCAAGCCCTAGAAGCCATATGAACCCCATAAAACCCCCCTATGAGCCCTATCCAAAACCGTCCACATGCGGCCACAAGGTGCGGCAAGGGCAGGCCACTCTGGGCGAACGCCGAAGCCAACTCCTGGACGCTGATGGTGCCGGAGCCTCGGAGATTTGGGCAATTTACGGGGCTTTGTGAGCTCAGGGCTTACGTAAGGGTTAGGGGTGCGCAGGAGGGTCCGGGATTGCTTGGAGTCTCTAGACCTACCTTCCGAGGCTTTGCATCCAACGCAAGTCGCGCAGACATGTGAACTGTATGCGCAATCGACAATGCATACGTCTGGGACACCTTGTCATTAGTTCACGCATCATCCGGCCAGGACTCGGTCAATGTCCACGACGCAAAACTTTGCCTTTTGGTCCTCCGCAAGTCGAACCGTTTGTGTTTCATTGCCCCGAGCATCAAGAGATTCAGCGACTGGACATCTTGGGCCCCAAAGTAGGTATTCGTCGAACCCGGACAGTTGCCGTTGAGATCCCGATCCCACCGCAGTAGGAGATCCTCCCCTACAAAACACCTGCAGGACCTGCAGGTTTAAGCTGCAACACCGGCATTCGGCTAGAAACCCTTTAGCAGCCTTGCCCTGAGGACTAGTACCCATTGGATGACATGCCAGTCGGGGTGTAAGCGAAGACAACATGCCAGAAAGCTGTGTACGCCTTGCTCCGTGCAGCGGCGGCTCCTTCAAGAATTCCATGAGGAGGCAGAATTGCTCGAAAGTGAGCATGCAGGCTCCTCCGGAGAACTTCCGGATCCTCAGTCTGGCAGAGCTGTTGCCTAAGGAGCTAGCGCCGCAGGTTGCTCTGCAGCAGCTAGTGCCGGCGGCTCATGGTGCACATGAGACTGGGGTGTGATGTGCGCTAGCTGAACTCTGCAACTCAGCAACTCTGCCGTTCGTTGCACACGCCAACCCCACAGCGGTGAACTACGAAAAGAGACTTGCGTAAAGAGATTTGCGTGGGGCGCAAAGGGGGGTCTCGTGCGGACGCGGCTCAGAACCTCGGCTGTGGTCACAAGGAATGGTCGTGGCACCTTCAGAGGGGGGGGCATCTTGTGCTTTGAGGCAGCTGAGGGATGGTGAGGGTGTGCATGGAAGTGAGCTTGAGGGCTCCGGACCGAAAGCGTGCCATGCTGCACACTTTCGCAAAGCATGAATGACTCAGCGATCCCATTTTCACTCCATTTTCGAGCCTGAAGCATGCAGGATTGAAAAAGAAAGAGAGCTGCAGCGAGCGTTCAGCCATGCAATAAGACTCCCGCAACTCAACCAGCTGCTGAAGGATAGCTGCAAAACACCGAATCGGAGGCAAGCTTGCCGCCGCCACGCCGTTGTTGAGAGCCAGAATGAATGTTCCAGCTTTCTCTTGCACCCCCTTGCCTTGAACATGGAATTGTAGAACATGGGCCCCAGGAAGCCGCCAGCATTAAAACCTGCGAGGCCTCGGACAAGCATGTTGGTGGGCGCACCGGCGTCACTTCTGGGGTGCTTGGAGAAAGAAGAAAGATAACAATAATTTATTTAATGATATAAACATATAAGAATAGACCAAACTAGTATCCCGCAATGATACAAGAATTTCAACATATGCACATACGAAAATGAAATGATCAATATCGACCAATAGTTATATGATGTGAAAAAATCTCGGGGTTTGTGTCTTGGACTGTGGCAGACTTGACCACCAAACCCGAAGCTCAGCCTCCCGCCTGCTGCCGCAGGGTGCATCGCGAGGTCGCTCAGCGGATCCAGCGACCTCGTTGATGGCAGGAGAGGCATCGGGGAGAATGTCTCAAAGCCCTGTGATTATCCTGTGATTCTTTGAATGAAGCTTTGCTCGCCAAGGTATTGAGGCCGCCACTTCTTGATCGCCTCCATAATTGTCAGCCTTGAAGCACATTGCGTGCATTCATGGCCGGCTTGGGGGCTCGGACGTTTGTACATGAAGATGCACGTCTCGATAAAGCCAAGTGCACAAAACACTCTCGCTCTCGCTCTCCCTCTCCCTCTCCCTCTCCCTCTCTGTGTGTTTTCAAAACGCTTGGGAGAGGTCGGGTGGTGAGTTTGGGGCCTGGGCACCTTGCAATCCCTATAAACCCTGTACACCCTACAAACCCTGTAAACCATGTAAACCCTGTAAACCCTGTAAACCCTATACATGTAGACCCTATAAACCCGAAACACGAACTTTCACTCGCTCTCTGTCTCTCTCGATCTCGCTCTCGCCCGCCCTCTTTGTTCGATTCTGTCGTGGGGCTTAGTGGAGCGCCCCTGTGTTCCCTTTCTTTCTTTTCTTTCTTTCTTTCCTTCTGTCTTTCTGCCTTTCTTTCTTTCTTCTCTCTCTTTCTCTAGTTCTGTCTTTCTTCCATGGGGCAAGAAACCTTGAAATACTGAACACCATGACCCTCCAGAAACCCCAAAACTTCGGACCCTAAAGCCTTAAAAACCTTGACAACCCTAAAGCCCTCAAAACCTCAAACTCCTTAAAACTCTGAAAACCTTAAACCCTCTAACTCCTGAAAGACCTAAAACCTTAAAAGCCTTAAAAGCCTCAAAAACCTCAACAGAAAATCTTGAAGGCCTAAGAAAGCGTTTAAAAACCTTAACCC